ATTAAAAATCATTTTCAAAGGTAAAACAAATAACTTCTTTTGAAACACATTATGATTTTAAAATATACAATTACTAGTATTGATATATTTCACTAGCTCCTCTTCGTATATATTGATTAAAGCACAAAATACATCGCGTGTGTCTGACTTTTGTTCACATAATTTGCTAAAAGATTTTTCCGACAAAAATGTAAAGCTTTATCAAAAGATAAAGGTGACGTTAGATGATTCTCTACCTTTTTTGTTATCTGTTTATTCCTATAGCAACTATGTGTTGGACGCAATTTGCTTATAGTGCTAACAGCTTCTAACAAGGTTATTCTAGAAAAGCTTTTCCTTGGAGTTCGGTATTTTTGTTGTTTTACTTTTTTTAAATTTAACAATTACTGTCCTAATTTTGAGCTTACTTCATCCGGTTCGAATTCACTCACTCAAGTACCAGACAAAAAAAAAATAATTTTAGCTTAATAAAAATACTTTTAATAAAAAATTTAATTCATACTGAACAGCTTAAATATTAACTTTCTGTAAACGAATGTTATTAATACCGAATTTCCGCTAAGGCTTTGTCTAAACGTGACTGAGGTAGTTTTACATAAATAAGCTTACATAAATGCTTCGATAAATAGTTCTCTGAGTAGCCGAATCACATGACCTTTTGTAGTTGTGTACTTAGTACGAAATCATTACCTTTATAATGTTTGTTATCATTAGGAATAACTTAAATGACCTATTTGAAAGTGATTCAGATTGTAAAGGTCAAAATAAATAAAGTTGATATAATATAGTTTTCCAGATGTTAATGCAACCAGTGTTTGTATGAAACAAAGAACATTACGTTTCATCAGTTGCAAAACAGTTTTGACAAGGCTGTCAACCAGTTCATTAACCCCATGGTTCTCCCTCACTGTTTTATGTTCAATGATTCGATGAACGATGTATATTCAGAAATCTTGCTATGGTGCCAGTCTCATGCTTACTGAGGATTGATTTTAAATTCGTAATTCTTTAAAATATAAATAAGTTTGATCGCATGTTTGTGAATCGCTGCAAGTCATGTACTTCCAATAAACATACTAAGTCACACAAAAAAGGCGCACTGGTGACAGGATTATATTGATATACTATTAAACAAAATCAAAGACCACTTAGTATACTATATAGCAGACCCCAAAAGTTTAGTATGGCTTGTTGAAACCTATAATTGTTAACGATTTTAATGACATTATCATTAGTTTCACAGCGTGTTGGTGACCGTATGAAGTTTACTGACCCTGTATATATCGTATTAGGTCACTACCACATTGTGTAACGAATTTATCTTACCGACTATCTTAACATGTTGAATTCAGACTAGCGGCATATTAAAGTGATCAAGTTTTCAATATTAACAACCTACTTGCGTTGGTCTTTACAAAAACAAATACCGACAATATCATTTTTTTTAGCCTTTAATGTGTTTTTCGTATTTATTTTCAATCGTTTATCATCAATTTCTTCATCTGCTGTCTAGCCATGAGCGATACGTTTCAGATTTTTCCATCAACGTCATGTTGTTTTTATAAAGGGACGTAACGCTGCTACTAACCGTGTATTAAATACTTACCCAAGACAAAAAAGACAGGGTCTCCACGTGTTCGCTTAAAACCAATGATATTTCTAAAAATGTATAGGAGGCAAGATAAAAATGTATATGCACACGATTAATACTTCATAGATATTATTTCGTTTCATACCCTTCAAACAAACACATCAAAACGAAAATTGAAAGCAGACCCCAAAAACAATTAACAGTAAGTACACATTTGTGATTGCGTTATCTAAAATGTAAAAATACAGAACAGATATTTTTTGATAAACAATTTTTCCTGTCACTATTTCAATGCGTTTCTTGGTAATGGTAAATGTCAATAAATGTTTCAGAAATGGAATTAAGCTCTCAAAAAGAAAAAAAAATTCCGACAACTCAGTCAACAAATACGTATGGTGCCTTTGATATCTGACCGGATATAACATCCAACTTTTTTGTTGTAATCCGTTCCATTGTTACATCGACCAACTATAAGGGTTGTACTTTAAGCAAAAATATTAATTATTTTTTAAAGGCACATGAAACTTTTTCCGTTTTCGTTTTTGGTCATATATATCTGATTATAAGTATGTCTTTTCGTTATTCGTGTCGTATGAAATTTGTGTCATAGACATATACCCAACATTTCCTATACGGTAATCAACACTTTGGTTACATTTTATAAAATATATCTCTATTTTAAAACGAAACCCATTAGATATACGAGCTTCACAAACAAATATAATAACAACGTAAATATGTTTTGCACTTAAACGACCAGATTCGTAAGACACAAGAAAGACATTAAAATTTGCTTAGCTGGATACATGTAGTTGAATATGCAATAACATCTTATCGTTAGAGTCTTCAATGAGACTTAAAATCATATCTCTCTTATTGTTGTTTTATCGTGCATTAAATGACAGTACTGTATGAAAAAATTAAGGTAATTTCCCGGGCCCCGAATTTGTCTCACATTACGTATGTTTACTAAAGGTCTCTCCTTTTTTTTAATTTGTATTATCACAGCTTTGCTTTGAGGTTCTCAATACTGTATGTTTTATTTCTAAACAGATGAGCACATTATCAACACTGAAAGATAGCACGAAATTTGTCAAATTTTGAGAATTGATAGAAAATTTAATGAAACAGAAAATTCTTAACCAAAACCAAAATTTACAAGGGAGTCGGTTACGCATTTATTAATATTTTATAGAGACATCATTCGTTTAGGAACCTTTAAAAATTGACAATTATGCCTCTAACAAGCTAAAAAAAAATATTTTGATGTTAAGAAAATATTAAAATAGAAATATGCTATGAGTACTTTGATATAAACGTTTTAATGTCAACATTTTGATAAAATTTGACAACTTTTAGATTTTTATCCTATGATTGAAACTAATACAAGGCAAATAGACCATAACTCTTCATGTGATGTACATCGAAGGTTATGTAATCTGTACTTGTAATTATTTTACAAATTGAAAAACACGTAATTTACAAAGATATGAGTTCTCATTAAATGAGTTCAAAGTCCGCCTCAACTTTATCATCCTATCCGTATTCAGAACTTCAGTTGTTTACTGAATCCCTTTTGTTAATAAATTTGGTGCTTAAGCAGATGTGTGTGTTTTTTTATATATATTATCTTGTTCAAAATTGAGATGATTTGATGCTTGACATTTTATATGTATATCTGTATAATTAAGGACACTTATTGACCTCTTTATCTTTATATGTTTCTGTACTTTAAATGTGATGTATGATGATGCCTCATTTCCTTTTCATCCACTTCACACATGTATAGTTTCAAATGAATAGGAAGAGCCTCTTATTTTGAAGGAAATTGTCAAACAACTATATCAGTTTTATTCAGGAAGCATATACAATTTACTAATACATCGATTTGAAACTATGTTTAGAATGATTTGTATAGTTTTTTTTTTTCGTGCTGTTACATCAATATCCAATGCAAGGGGAGGGTTGGGCACCCGCGCTAACGTGTTTAACCCCGACACATTCTATATGTGTCTGTTCCAAGTCAGGTGCCTGACATTCAGAGGTTGTCGTTTGTTGATGTATATCATACTTGTTTTTTGTTTATTGTTTTGTACATAATTCATGCCTTTATTTTCTGTTTTACACTTGTCATTTTAGGACCTTTTATAGTTTGATATGCGGTATGTATCATTGCTGATGGTTGAAGGCTGTACGGTGTCCTATAGTTGCTAATTTACGTTATTTAGTCTCTGGTTGAGAGCTGTCTCATTGACAATCATATTATAATTTCTTATTTTTATATTTGAGGGGATTTAAAATCGATGTCACTACATGTATATTAAACATTTCAAGCTTGAGAAATAAAAATATAATATGTAATGATACCCAAATTGTACGTGCATTTGGAAATTTGAATATTTCTTTAAATTAGTAGAATATCTCACGAGCCCTCAACCTCATATTACCCATTTTGAATCCCGCTGTATACTTTTCATTTACATCCAACCTCATACTATTCTTTTTTGCAACCTAACAATGTAGTAATTAAAACTTAGGTCAAATCTTTAACACACATTAAGTACAGCAGGAATATAACTCTAATGATTTTTAAACGGTTAAGTTTTCCTTTGAAATTGATTCAAAATTGTTATTTGTTATCATGAACAGTAATACAACAATTTATCGAATTGTTATTTTTATAACTGTCTATTTTGCATTAGAATAGAAATAATGTGATATCTCTTTTCACGTGTATATCTTTAATTAATTATTTAAATCTCTCTGTATTAAAAAATCAATTTCTAGACGACCATACGACGCTCTTAGGAGATCTTAGGAAGAATCATCCTAATACAGAGTGTTTTAAATACTTGAAAATATATATCTAGGCTATATCCTAAGCCAATATTTAAATGCTGAGGAATATAACGATTATAAGATTTAAAAATAAATCGTTTGTTATCCTGGTATTTATAATACGTTTATTTATATTAATTGATATACATATTATTTTCTAATTACTTCTTGCGGTTTTTTTCACGATATCTGACGAAGCACAACTGTTTTGTTTTGGGTAAATTATGCATTTGTTTTGTTTAATGGTTATCATAATTATACTACTATTATAGTTATTATTATTATTATTATCATTATTAGTGTTTTTATTATTACTATTATTATTATTATTATTATTATTATTTGAAAATGTACAAACTTTGCTGTACTTCGTCAGAAATAAAATGTATCAAAGAAAAACTGTCTAAAATGATTTTATAAACCGAAAAAGTTCGCTCTTACTTTGTTTACCTAATTAAGTTGTCCATATTTAATGTTTGATCAGAAATCATTAGTTGTAAAAGAAAGGCGGAAGATACTGTTCTGCCTCAGTGCATAGTATAACCATAAGCCACAAACAGGTTTAATCATTTATTCCGAAAACCATGAAATAGTATGAGTCTACATATATGTGCTGTGATGTTGGTAAAAAGCTACAAAAAACAAACACAAATACCTTAGCTAACTCATCATAATCATGACTACAAAAATCATAAAACTAACAGTTCAAATCTATGTATCAAAATGAATTTTCGATCAAATCATTCAAAAATTAGAGCACCAAATGGCTTCCCATACTTTTGTAAAAACAGTGACAAAATTAACAATCATCATATTTCACTTATGGCTGATGTACAGATACACAATATTTATTTTGATGTGAAAACATATTAACTTTCATCATACAATCATTAAAAACTATAAATTATAAACTTACATTGTGAGTCGGCGTAGTTTAAGATACTTTTAAATGCGTGTGACCACGTTCATGCTTTCAATTTAGGAAACAAAAAAGTAAGGGGGAAAGTAACGAACTTCAAAGTACAAAAAATCTAGCAATCAAAAAAGTCCGGGAAAACGTATGAAAAATCGATAGAATTTCTTTTAAACAACAAAAAATCAACACTGGTAACAGTACACTCCCCGTCTAATATCATTCCCATGATATTATTTTCTAACAAATTTATGCAAATTTACCAAATGTAAAAATAAGTCATAATTTTGACTATTACGAAAAATCAATGCTATCGAAGAACATTCCTTCAGCAGAAAAAACACACTAAAAATACAAACAACAGTTCACCTAAAACCTTTTCATAAATTGTTCTTACAAAGAAGTCAATATTCACAATCAGTCTACCAATAAAACCATCTCACTAATCGGTCTTGTATATGTAACAGCTTTACCTTCCTTGTAGATGCGGAGGCGAGCCTTGCGTACTTTTTCATCATCGCTTTTGATAACTTCCTCCACAATGCCTAGTGGCCACTCTCCTCGGTAAACAGATTTGTCTCTCATAAGAATTACATCACCAACTTTGATATTGTCCTTGTCAACGTGCCATTTACGTCTCTGTTGCAAACATTGTAAATAATCTGACCTCCAATGCTTCCAGAATATATCTGATAGAACTTGCACATGTTTCCATTGTGCATGATACATATCCTTGAGGTTATATGTGTCCGTTATCACAGGTAAGTAGTCTTGTTTTCCAGTTAAGAGCATTGATGGACTTATAATCAAAGGCATTTCCGGATCTGATGATATCTGCGCAATGGGTCTTGCGTTAATAATTGCGGTCACTTCAGCTAAGAATGTTGTTAAACTTTCATGAGTCAAACTTTTACTACTAGAAGTTAAGATAACAGCGTCTAATATTCTTCGCGTGACACCTATCATCCATTCTGAATCCATGAGATTAAGGAACAAGCGGTCTTCAACTGATGTGCCAATCTTGTCGTCATCTTTGGTTTTAATAAACAATGGGTCATTATTACACCTTTGTGAATGAACATTATCTCTAATATGAGCCAATTCAGTGTTTTCCTTTACATACAAAGTGTTTATACAAGGTTCAAATATAGTTCCTCTACCATTGTTCATTACATTAGACTTATTAACATTGACAAAATTTGGTTTGTGCACTTTGCCTAAGCAAACATCGCCTTTAATCACCCAACCGAAAAAGAGCTCCTGGGCAAATGGCGTGCCCTTCGGTCCTGTCAACTGTCTATTCACGTGGTGCGCTTCTGGGACATCTCTTCCAATTAAAAGTTGAATGTCTATATTTGGATTCAAATCTAACATTTGATGAGCTATCTCCCGTAAATGGGGATACGATTTAGCAATATCCGGAGTCGGAATTTCTGATTTTTCGTCTGGGATTGCACTGCACTCTATTACTGAAGGTGTTTCAAGTTTTCCGTTACCAGACAATGACTCAACTATCAGACTTTCTGCACATCTACCGTTCATGATAGTGCGCCCAGCGCAAGATGACATAGTATACTGAATGGCTGATGTATTTATACCTAATTGATCGAACAGCTCAGTCTTAGCAAGAGTCCTGTTACTTTGGTCGTCCAATATAGCGTACACATAAACGGCTTTATCTGGAAAGTTCTTTGGGTACACACGGACCTGAATGGTTTTTCCACATGATTTACCACTAAATCCACATAATGACGTGCACTTGGATGACACTGTATGATCATTAGCATTTTGCGTTGTTTCAGATGATTTCTCCCCACCGTCAGGAGAACTAGATTTTGCAGATAAATGCATAGCGGTTATATGATAATTACTTCCACAATGTTCACATTTTACCGTTACGGTACAATTTCTTGACATATGTGTTGTCGAATGGCAGCATTTGAAACAAATCTTATTGTCCTTCAGATACTTTCTACGTTCTTCATAAGTCATTGCTTTAAAGGCTCGACAAGTATTCAAATGATGATTGGCTTTATGAATAGGACAACGTACAGCCTCTTTCTCTTCATTCTGTTTAATATTAACATCTGTTTTTCGGTTAAACACTGACGTTGCGCCATGGTTAACTTTCCGTGTATCATTTGTTTTTCTAGAATATGATGCTTCAGTATTACTATAAATAAACGCAGGATCGTTTTTGACAGCACAAACCTCTCTGATAAATTGCACAAAATACGAAAAAGGTGGAAATGGTACATTGTTTTTCAGTTTGTATTGTGATGCACGTGTTGTCCACTTCTCTTGTATATTATACGGTAATTTGTCCACGATTGGTAAAACACCAGAAGAAGAGTCGAAATATGACAATAAATTCGAAAATGTCTCATTCTCTTTTGAAGATTCAATTTGTGTGAGAATATCCAATAGCTCATAAAGTCGACTATGATCCTTGTTTGTTAATTTTGGAAACTTCTGTAGTTTTGTTTTAATTGTCGCTTCTACCATCTCAGGTCTACCATAGCGTTCGTCAAGACGCTCCCATATACGACGAAGACCAGTCTTTGGATTGTTCACATTTGACGCACGAATAGTTTGCAAAAACTTAGAAGATTCACGGCCGAGCCATTTTACTATTAAGTCCATTTCTTCGAAAGCCGTAACTGAAAGTTCTTCTGTAATACTTTTAAAAGTAGCCTTCCATGAAGCGTAAGTTTCCGCACAGTCATCAAAATTCTGAAACCTAGTAAGTAATAAATCTTTCTTTAATAAAAACTTAGTCAAGTCGGACACTACAGACTGATCATGTTTTGGTGGCAGTGGTGGCTGAGTAAATTCAAAATCAGCTGCACACGGATTTAATGTTTGTTTTTGCTGAATTTCTGATTTAATATCTTCAGCTATTGATAAATCCAAATTATCGACTTCAAATTTTGGCAAATTCCTTGGCGTAGGATTTATGTTAAACTGGTTCCGAGGTGCCGGAGTATGTGAACTAAAATTGTCTTGATTGTTCGGAATAACTTGTGGAACATTGTTATTCTTGTCTTGAGATTTGAGTTGTTCTACTTCTTTAAATTGTTCATTAACATATTTGTCTGTAAGTGTCATTTTTACTTTTTCTAACGGATCTTTGTCATCTTGTAACGACAACGATCTTTTATCGCTCTCAGCTTCTTCTAAGACTTTGACCTCGGCCTCTGCGACAGCGGTATCTGTCTGTTGTTTTAGCAGTGCTAAATCCGCATCAACTGCAGCCTCTTTACGATCCCTAAGAGCCTTAGATATTGCTTTTTGCTTGATTAGTTTTGTTTGTTGTTCAGCATATTGTAACTTTGTTCGCTGAACTTCAGCATTTATACGCTTCTGAGCCATAACTGAACTCGATATTGAGCCACTTCTACCACTATTGTTCGAATGGACAGACTTAACAGGAGCTACCGACATTGTTTCGGCAGCTGTTAATTTCAATGTCTTAATTTGTTGTATTGTATTGTCAATAATTTCGGTGCACTTTTTAAACTCTGTTTTAAAGGTGGATAATGTTTCGTTACTGTCTTCAGTGTTCTTGCGTGTCAAAAACTGAATATAATTATTTGAGTTTTCACAGTATTTTTCACGAGACTTCAAAATGTTTTTCTCTAGTTTGCGTAGAGGTTTTAACTCCTTTGAGCAATCTGTAAATTCTTCAAGTAAATTTTCTACAATTTCCCACGACCCGTCAATTCGTTTAAGGTATTTTACCTTGTGTGTATCATAAAGTTCTTGACCTTTCTCTGTCATCTTATGTTCATGGGTAGTTTCAGGCGGAAGTGGTTGTGATTGCGCCATTTCATAAAATTGTTTGTAGGAACTACAATGTCTGCATATTATTCTGTATCAAACTTTGTCTTTACAATCTTTTTACTGTTCTGCCTCAGTGCCTAGTATAACCATAAGCCACAAACAGGTATAATCATTTATTCCGAAAACCATGAAATAGTATGAGTCTACATATATGTGCTGTGATGTTGGTAAAAAGCTACAAAAAACAAACACAAAAACCTTAGCTAACTCATCATACTCATGACTACAAAAATCATAAAACTAACAGTTCAAATCTATGTATCAAAATGAATTTTCGATCAAATCATTCAAAAATTAGAGCACAAAATGGCTTCCCATACTTTTGTAAAAACAGTGACAAAATTAACAATCATCATATTTTACTTTTGGCTGATATACAGATACACAATATTTATTTTGATGTGAAAACATATTAACTTTCATCATACAATCATTAAAAACTATAAATTATAAACTTACATTGTGAGTCGGCGTAGTTTAAGATACTTTTAAATGCGTGTGACCACGTTCATGCTTTCAATTTAGGAAACAAAAAAGTAAGGGGGAAAGTAACGAACTTCAAAGTACAAAAAATCTAGAAATCAAAAAAGTCCGGGAAAACGTATGAAAAATCGATAGAATTTCTTTTAAACAATAAAAAATCAACACTGGTAACAGTACAGATACCAAAGGGACACTCAGACTCATAGGTCAAAAATAAACTGACAACTCCATCGCTAAAAAAGAAAAATACAAAGAGCCAAACAACAGTACACAAAACAAAATATAAAAATAAAGACTGAGCAACACGAACCCCTACAAAAACTAGGGTTGATCTTAGGTGCTCAAGAAGGGTAAGCAGATCCTGCTCCACAAGTGGCACCCGTCGTGTTGCTCATGTTAGTAAAAACCCGGTAATAAGGACACATTCGGGGAAAAGAGGACGGGATTGCAGTTGGCAATTGGAACATATCCGCTGTCATCTGTGAAACGGATATTCCATTACGGTCAATTGCAAGCAACTCATGATGGCGTCCGTAAACTTTACGAAGGGATGACTTCAGCTTCACCACTTGGAACTCTTTATTTAATAGCTTACTTGTGAGCAGCAACTCTATATCAAGGACATCATGATAGGAAATACAAGCCCTGGAATATCGTATCAATTGGGAGATATATACTCCATTTGCATGCGCTGCTGGAATGTTGCTACATAGAAATGGAAAGTTCGCAATTGGAAAGCTGAAATCTTTACGTTTGTCGTAAGTTTTTTTTTCAACCGACCTTAATTGTCAATTTCTAGATGTAAGTCAAAATATGAGGTAGACTTATCTGTATCTGTTGTATCCTTTATCTCAAGTTCGTATAAATATCAGTCTACCGTAGGAAAGACCTCTTGTAAAGTACTTTATAAAAGATGTAATAATGTGAATTTTGTACGATATCTTTGTAAACATTAGTATCTTGATAGACTGCTAAAAAGAAAATGTAACATTATGCGAATCTTGTTTGGACGACGTTTTTGTTTCGTAATGTTTTGTGAGAGTATACGTTCTTATCCAGTCAAAACAACAACATATTTATGAATGTTTTACTATTATTTCAACTTATATTAAAAGGGCAATATCTACAAAATGAAATGCTAAATTATAACCGATAACAATACATTCCTTAGATAAACATGTGTGACCTACTGCACATCTGTGACGAGAGAAAAAAACTTTATTGGTACAGAACCCTAAGTGAGTAAACTCTTTAAAAATTAGTAGAACGTTTTAATCATACACTATAAGAAAAGAGAAATAAAGTTTCTAAATGATCAAAGACAGTGTTTGTCAAACAGCCATATATCCAATGAAATAATTCCTGTAAATTGTGCAGTTCAAATTTCTTGAACCTTTTAAAACTTTTGTCAACGGGTCAAAGTAAATATTTTGTCAAAATTGCATGAAAAATAAACGAGCCAAATCTATTTGAGTCAAAGTTTTTGGTACTCCAAAAAAGAAAATTAGTGTTAAACAGTAAGTCATTGAACTAAAATATGAAAACAATGGTGATCAAAGTATACCAGAATGAAATTCTAGACATACAAAACACAAATAATCATTTTACAAATAATGAACACCATCGATCTCGGATGAGAATGCACGTTTCGAGTGAGCTGGACAAAAAATAGAGTTCTAGCGGACGATCTAAGGTCATATCAAAACACAATGGTTATTTTCGAGCTCTAATTCGCACAAAGACAGGTATTTACCAGATCCTCCCCCAGAGTCTAACCACCGCATAATTATGAATCTGGAACTCTGAAAGAATGCTTTGATTTTTATTGGGATATGATTATTCATTGTGTTAAATACCTGAAAGCAAACTATTAGTGACAGGACAATATTAACATTACACTTAGACCAAAGTGAGCACTGATGTGTTTCCCCGATTGTTTTAGTAACGGGAAAACAAAAGGAAAAGAAGAATGTACAATGCAAATATTGTCAGCAAAATTTGTCTTTTTTCCGAATGATGTGATATTGAGTATTGGACGTACAACTGTCTTTTTTTCTTTACGTGGTCCATAAACCGGGTTATATTAGTCATTTATTGAAACATGATAATGATAAATATACAAATAGTAAATTGCCTTTTCTAATTAAAACATGATTATAGAGACAACTTAGATTTAATGAACTATAATTTCGTTTTTCGATAATTATGACAAATAACAAAGTCATGTCAATGGTTTAAAAACAATTTTACTTTGTATATATTTGATTGGTCAATAAATGATATAACGCAAACAGAATACGATGCTTGTTTAAAATGTCAGTCATTCAAGTTCTTTTATTTACTTTATCATTATACATATCTAATATTTACAGCATATTTAGAATTCAAAACACTGTATCTTTTCAAATACATAAACCCTTTGTTATTGGAAATACCTTACACATGTTATTCTTCCTGAATGTAACAAGGTTCATCATATACATCTTTCTTAAGGATGTTCGCTACTCTATTTTAAAATAACAAGCTTTTTAAAAGACTGTTATAAATTGATAGTATATAAATAAAGGAACTAAAAAAGCAGAAAGAAGTGAAGGGTCCGTGTGCTTGTTTTCGAGATAAAAGCCATTGAAAATTTGGCGGGAAATACTTCTCTCTAGATTTTTCATGCATTTAACATTAGCACATTTTTTCTTTCAAAAATGATGAACAAATAACAAGGATTTTATAAGATTTTCAAAGATGACATTTTAAACTATATGTAATCAAATTATGGAAAGAAAAGTAGGGCTTAGTGGGCAAAATGTTTAATGGCTCTACAAAGATAAAACCAAAGGATTCCGAATATCTGGCAAAAATTCAAAAACAGGAGGAGCGAACATCCTTAAACCGACTTCTTTCCCACTGATAATTATAAAACATAATGGTTATTTGCCTCGAGCATTTTATCGGTATAATATTTTAAAGTGATAACATGCAGTGTTTATGCAAATTAACTTTAATATGATAGAACTATAGGCAAGACAATACTTTAGACATAATTATATAATTGTAGGCAACATTACTTTACCGATGTTCAAATCTCATAAATAAATTAAGAGGATACAAATCAAGGTAAATAAAACTTAGAGAATCACATGAACTATAAAGTAGCTAGACTGGTTGCGTTGACAGGATAATCGTTTCTTTCCATGAATTTATCACCCGCCATGTGAATTGGGAAAAGACAAGTACACGTATGGATCAAATAAATCAGTATACTGATATTTGATTCAAGATACACCTTGAATAATCATTTCGTACAATATCGTATGGAACGTAAAACAAAATAATATACTACCACTTTCTGTGTTCTGCTAATTTGTTTATCGGTAACTTTGATGTGATGAGACTTGGTATCCTCAAAATTATAATTTATTGATGATTGATTGATTGTGGGTTGCTAAACGTCCAGTGTCATATACTTCATACATTTTCAGGACGAGAACAAATTAGCAATAAATACAACAGGTAGGTCCTGTAATAGAGGTCGTCCGGGATGAAGGTCGGGGAAATGTAAACTGCAAATAGAAAATGAGTTATATTAGATAGGGACAGGAATATTGCATTGCAACAGACCACCTACAGACCCCTCAAAGAGCTGTTGCAAGGGTTCTTAATGTGAAGGTTTCACTGTACACGATACATCGGAATAAGCATTCTGACAGAACGTGCCTGTGAACTTGTACATCCCGCACAGCTAAATTGACACCCTACTTTCGCAAGGGTTTTGCTGCCGGTCCGAAGAAGACCAAGAGTGAGCCCATTTCTATTCCCCAGTCATTTTTTGGTGAATTATAATTGAAAAAAGAGAAGTTACAACGTCAATAAGAACGCATCCCAACCCCCTCCCCCCTAAAATATATACAAAAGAAAAAAGACATAGAAAAGCATACACATGAACGGTTTCTTATCATAAGAGATGAGACAGCATTCAACTACAAAAGACATTAACAACAATTTTCAAATAGACAAGACAAAAGAGAAAGCGACAACAGCGGCAGAGGACATTTCTGATTTAGGGTATGCAATTATAATTTGTATGTTTCGGAGTTTAGTTAGGCGTTCATTTCACGGAACTAGTTTGCATTATTGTTTAGAGGCCAGGAAAAGTCCGCCTCCTGTTGCGGGATTTTCACGCTGCATTGCAGACCCACAAATCTCAGTGTTGGCCTTGTGCTGTATCTGCTCTTTGGGCGGTTTGTTGTCTCTTTAACACATTCCCCTTTTCCATTCTCTATTCTACATAAACATATGTCTCTTTATTTGTCTTTATTTCTGCTGTTTTGCTTTAAATGATATATATTATATACCTGACAGCTTTAATTTTACATAAGTAATTCGTACTAAAACTTTCAAAGTATGGCAAATAAAATCTCCGTTTTACATGATGCATCTGAAGTAGTTAGAGAGTACTTCCTATTGCTATGATTAAACTAAAGAGTGTCCTTATAGTTTCATTTTTTTCCGTAAACAATATCACCAGATAATAAAGCTACTAAAATGTTAAACCAAATTATTATAATTTAAGTTTAAACTCCGGATTCTAGGTATTGTAGAGTAGTTTTAACGGAATTAAACTCATCATACAAAATGCACATAATTTGTTGCATGCGAATCACTTTTTGATTCAACCTTTATCAACAGCGATTATCCCAGTTTACCAGATTTAAAATTATAGCAATTTGTCGTCAATAATTTACAGTTGATGATACCACAGAGACTGCACAGATAACATTTCTGCACTAAAAAGACATTTCTATATCATCCCTTCTATAATTATTTAGGAATTAAATAAACATAATTTTGAAAAGATAGACGTATAATTATATCTTCTGTAGTATCAGTGGCCAATTAATATGTCTGATCATATATATACTCCTCCTTTTGAAATTACAAATGCAAATATTACATTTTAAATATCACAACGGAAAGGGGATATGGCGTATAAATTTGTTGACACCTAATCACATGCACTTGACAAAACACAATTAAAGGAACATCACATTTGTTGCTGTATATAATCACAAAGTCAAAGCGATGTCTTATACACAGAGCATAACAAGAAGCATATTCAAAAAACACCCCAGCACCGGTTCTAACTTCATTTGCCGTTGTGTGCTCCTTACACATAAACTGCTCTTACAGAGTTATGAGAACGAATGACTGAACTCAACGTGCAACACTACACAACTACTACCATCACGAACTGGTTGAACGATACGATGTGCCGGAGTTTCAACTCATTAGTGACAAATTTTGCCATCTGGGATCTTAAGAAACCAGAATTGTCGTTGATCTGTAATTTTACCGATTGTGGCATATTCCCGATGGTTTAATTGCGACCGAGTGTGGATTCGCATTACGGATGATGAATGCATAACAAGAGATGCTTACCTGGTAGACGCATGGACTACACAGCCATTACTAAAAAAGAGATAATATACTATAGTGTGTGATAGGATTTTATGAGAGAATTCGATGTTTGCTTTTCCATGGTTCACTTAAACGCACTTCATGACAATACCACTGAATAAATCAGAATTAAACTTTTTGCAGTATTTTCAAAACTGATTTTGCTATGTATCCGTGTATCATATGTTAATAAATGAACGCTTTAAGAAGGTTAATTTTCTTCTGTATAAAGTCAATAATTTTGTTGACTTTTGAAGCCCAAACTTTCTATGGCTTTAAATACGCTAATGAGAGATTAAAACCGATGCCAATACAGACATAGAGGTTTTTGAACTTCTAACAAAAAGTTTTGGTGATGAGTGTTTTCTAGTACTAGCAAGAAATTGTATTAAAAAATCTCTCATTTTCTCCCTATCCAATTTACCCCTCAAACTTAATTTGATATGGACTGGTCATTGTTATTAAATCTTGCGCAATTCGATTGGATGAAGTTATTATTGCTTCTCCTTTAAATGTTTACCTCTTAAAATTTGTCCCGTGTGTATTCTGTAAGCACATGAAATTTTATTACGTAACAATAATTATTGTTTATGAAGACAAAGATGGCAACTGTAGATGCGAAGTTGAAAAATCTTTAAGAAATTATAAAAATACTCTTGTTTGTGGATGAACAATTATAGTAATGGTTTTTCTTTAGCTTTCTGTCCTAATGTTTTGCTAAAGGGTCAAGTCGAATTTTAATTATTAATTTTTTTAATGAATACGATTAAACCAATGTTCTTTAATTAGAGAGTCTGGATATGTTACAGTTAGTATTGAGATTAATGGGCAACATAAGTGAAGAAAAGAGAAAAAAATTCTTAAAAATTAAAAGAATATAGAAATAAATATCCCAATCCAGACCCTCATAATTTATAATTCACAATTTAACTTTGCTGGACGTTCCTTATCTGAATGCATTTAAAGTATAATTATATTCTGTGTATCTGAAAACAGGTTGATTTCTTTTAAAACACACGTGTGCTTCAATTAACCTTCAATCTGTACACTGGACGAGTTCATGATATTTTTATGAATGAAACAAAAGGTATGAAAGATTTGATTTTGTAATTCTTATTTTTTTACGAAATTTTCGTAATACAGTGAAATTGTACAATAATGAAATGACGCGTTGTTTAGAAATTTGAGAAACTTATCAGATCATGCGTTTTTATTCTTTGCAAAATATATTATTTTGAAGAAAAACATTGAAATATATTTTAGGCACGACTACGCAAGTTAAAAAGCTTGCGATTTTTAACAACAAATAGCATTTTTGCAGTCTCATTAAGCTGTTGTCAGTCCAATTTAATCCAAACGAAAGCAGTGAGTAAATGGAGAAAAAATATGACCAATCTGCCTATTTTTGTAAATGAAAAGTCAATTTGATCATTTTAAGGCCGGATTCGTCAACCTCACAAAATCGTGTAAGGAACTTTAAAACATGTAAAGATTTAGAGATAAACTGAACAAGTATCCAATATTATACAAATATTGCTTTTTGATGAGGTTGATACAATGATTTATCAACCCAAGGGATATGATATTCACCAGGACTGCTTTTGAAGTTGCTAACTTTTATAAGTTGAAACATTCAATAACATTTACTATTTAAATTAACACCGAAAAAGAAGGAGAAGAAAAGCGAATATTTAAATGGCGTCATTGTCGTGGCCTAGGAATAACTATATTGATCTATATTTAGGTACACGTAAGCTGTTCTAAATCTGATGGTAACCTCTCGTGATTTTTCCCGCAGTGAATATAATGTTTTACAAAAGAAGACTCCCGATGCTTTAAGCCAATGAGAAAACAGAAAATTTATAGACATATAATAAGATAAGTTATCTCGTGAATCAATACACCGTAATTGTAAAAATAATGTCTTTCATTAATATAACATGTTGACACCTTATAACAAAACTCATAAAAGAACCATGCTTATTATTTTGTACGCCAGTCGCGCTTTTCGTCTACAAAAGAATCATCAGTAACGCTTAAATCAAAAATAAGATACAAAGTTTACGAGAATTGAGGACTCAAAGTTCCGATAAGTTTTGCCAAATACAGCTAAGATAATCTATTTCTGGGGTAGAAAATCCTGAGTATTTCGAACAATTCAAGGTTTTGTAAACAATCAAGTTATAAATTTGATAATATCAATGATAAGTCATGTCCAACACAAAACTGTTGAATGCTGGACTAATATTTAACAAAGTAACCATTCAATATATCAGCAAGTAGGTTCACCTACTTTATTCATCCAGTGTTCCTTAGTTTACTTTGTGCGTAGATCAAACTTTTGCATAATATTCTTGTATTATTATTTTTTTAAATTTGTCAGTAGAGTACATTTGAAAATTTCAATCATTCTATTTTGGATTCAACATAAACAGCTATGAGGTGGATTCAATTTAACACAGCATTTAAAATCGATAGTCATAATACAATGATAAAATCGGAAATCGTAGTCCCTGTCCACTTACAGATAACTCATATCTTAAGTAAACCTTCATCATTTCTTATCCGGTTTACGTAAATAAGCTATTTTTCAATAATTTTAAAAGAAGGCGATTGACAACTTGTATCTTTTGTATATTGTCACCTAGACTGCTAATTTTCTGTGTTAGAACATGGAGCGTATAATTATCGTCCTTTGTTTGGTAACTATTTTTTTCTTTACGTGAAAACACAACATATTTAAAAGTACTATTCAAAGTTAATAATCCGCATAGCGCGCGTATAGATATTTTTCTCCTCTTGTTTATAAAGCAGTCTTAAACATATTTATATTGTCCGTTTGACCGATATTCTACCGATTCTGATTTCAGTTTGACTATTTGTTTATCAATTAACTACAAGAAAACGTTATTCAATCTTATTTGGAGTAAAGTATTCAAATAATCAAGTAGTCAAGAAATGAAGAATTGTAACACAACGTATTTAGATAGATTTTTTAAATTTTATTTATCTAAATATCGCTTAGATGATTATTTTTCAACTTGTTAACAAAGTAGGCTTAATATGTTTATATTTTCCGTAAATGTTAATCAATTAAATACAAAAAAAACTGTCTTTCAATTTAACCTTGAGTACGCGAAATCAAGTAATCAAGACACAAAGAACATTATGCAAAAAATTAACTTTCAATGGTATACTTGAACGCTGAGTAGAAACACGTAAAAAAATTGTCATACATTATTTGTTATTATAAACTTGAAACTAAATAGGTTTCATAGTAAAAAAGACAGCAAAATAGAAATATGATATGTATTATAACATGTTAAATGTTTCCCCATTATTTATCTGTATATTTAAGCTTATTAACTGTTTAGTTTGTAAAATGTTTACGGAGGATCAAATATTTCTTATGTATCTAAATGATAAAAATTACGTTTAAATAATTATACTAAAAATATATCATCTTTTCACAGGTTCCCTGTATGCTTGGTAAGTAAGGAAACGTATAAAAAGTACACTCATGTAACAATGCGACTGAGTAACAGTTCTCAATGAGTATTTTTGGTCGATTTTCATTAAATGGAGCTCTCTGTCGAGCAATTCATTTTGTAAACGTTTTCATTTAAAGACGGGAAAAACGTCTATATCATCTTTAGTGCAATATCCTTGTTACATATGAATACTATTATTTCCAGTTGTACCTATAATGACCCATTCCTCTTTTCCTTTATTGTGACATCATCAAAAGCAACTAATATCCAAATTTTTTTCAAGCCATGAAGACAACGGTGGGTTCCACTTGTAGAGCAGGAAGTGCTATTGTGTTGTTATGCTGTGGTCATTTTTTGTGTTCTTGTCTTTCATTTTTGCTTATGTGCTTTGTCTATATGCCATTTTTTTTTCTTTGTTGACATATTTGTTGGTTTTTATAGTGATTAAGATATTAACACAATGTTGACTGCTGTACCCCTATTTTTGACATTTTTACCTATTATGTATGTTTGTTTTGTTTACACATTGTTGTCAATATAATGGAATTTTATGCGACTGCCATACAAGTGAAAGGTTTAGCTAGCTATAAAACTAGTTTTAATCCACCATTTTCTACATAAGGAAATGCTTGTACCAAGTCAGGAATATGACAGTTGTTTTCCATTCGTTTGATGTGTTTGAGCTTTTGATTTTGCCATTTGATAAGGGACTTTCCGATTTGAATTTTCCTTGGAGTTCGGTATTTTTGTCATTTTAATTTTTACACTTCTAAATCAATCAAGCTCAATCCGGTTTCTGATTAGATCCTTGTTTTTCAATCTTTATTTTATATGTGGTTAATTGTAATATCTGGTTTGTCTTTTCATTTTTTGGTACTGTATTTTCGGAAATGGCATCGACCGTTATTTTTTTTTTCGCCAGCTGATTGGTTTTAGTTGCTCTCTTGGTATACACTACCTCTTTTTATTCTTATTGCTTAAACGAGAACGAAAAGTAAAATATTTTTTTCTAAGTTAATATATAATCCCATGAATGAATTAATATTGTTTATTTATACTGTTTGTAATAATGTTATAAGTTCTGCGTACATAAAAAACATCGAGTATAGGGTATGCACTAAAAAGACCTTATCCCTTGCTTATGTACTTGGTACTAAACAATTAATGTTTCTCATTAAATCGCTATTTAGAAGAAGTCGTAACACAAATAAAAAACAATGTAAGAAAACTCATCATAGATACCAGGATTAGAATTTTGTACGCCAGATTCGCGTTCCGTCTAACTCATTAGTGACGCTCGAATCAAAAAAGCTAAAAAGGCCAAATAAAGTACAAAGTTGAAGAGCATTAAGGACCCAAAATTGCGAAAGGTTTTGTCAAATAATTCTAAGGTAATCTAAGAGTGTAGGAAGTTAACCTACTTCAAGCAATGGTTACTTTTCATGTTGAAATTTAAAGCATGTTCAGATCTAGAATGAACTTCCAGTTTTGCAATTTTTTCAATTGTTCTTTTACAATGTTTAATAGCAATGACAACTCCAGCTAGCAGCGAATTAGAAGTGTGTGATCCTGTAGATATAGCATTTATAGTAGATACATCATCAAGTTTATGGTTCAAACATTTTAAGCTACAAATTAAGTTTATACATGACATCATAAGTCTCTGGGACATTGGACCAGGAAATCAACAAAGCAGAGCGGCGGCCGTGTCGTTCAGTAGTAGATTGTTTCCTGAATTTGGCTTTTCTGACTCCCAGAGTAAAAAAAGTGTTTTGACTGCGGTTAATAATATAACATACGTCGCAGGGGACGCAACCCGGATGTATCTCGGACTGGAATACGCCCATGACACCATTTATGCTCCTGGTAACGGTGAACGCCCAAATGTCCCAAATGTTGTTGTTATTCTTACTGATGGTGTCACCAATCCAGGACATTATGACAATTTCACGAGGGAAGTAGCTAAGAAACTGACACAAACACAAGCCGCACGAGTTAGAGATCTTCCAGCCAACCTCTTTGCTATAGGGATCGGTAACGATATTGATGAAAATGAAGTGAGAGGGATAGCCAGCCAACCTTCGGAATCATATAGCTTATTTGTTAACAATTTTGATGACCTTAATTCCAACTTTGTTAAAAAATCAGTACTTCGAAAAGTTTGTGGTTGTAAGTATTGTAATTTATATATCGTTCGTCAGATTATTGTAAATATAAAGGTTTCACTTACAACGTAAAGTTTACCTGATATGTAAATCTGAATCTAACTCTTAGTAAATGAGGTTTAGTGTTAAACGGTCATTTTGATTTAAACATCATCTGAAATGCCTGAATTTAAAAACGTTGTTAAGGGTTAAGGTTATTTTTCGGATATGTTCTTGTTTTGAATTCAGTATATTCAGACAAATGGGTAGCAGTCAATCTAGTACTGTTCATATGACTTTTAGACAGTTTAGCGTGATGTATTTTGTACTGGTTAATAATAACTACTAAATGGTATGAACAGGGACTGAACAAATCATATCTTAATGCAAGCTAATTTTCTGAACAGTACTAAATTAACAGCAGAGGATAAGTCTGCAAAATGAACTTGATTTGGTTTTTTTTTCTTTTGTTTCCTATTCTGACATCGGACTCGGACTTCTCTTATACTGAGTTTTACTGTGCGTACTGTTGTGCGTTTGTTTTTACTACATTGGCTAGAGGTATAGGGGGAGGGTTGAGATCTCAAAAAACATGTTTAACCCCGCCGCATTTTTGCGCCTGTCCCAAGTCAGGAGCCTCTGGCCTTTGTTAGTCTTGTATCATTTTTAATTTTAGTATCCTGTGTATAATTTGGAGTTTAGTATGACGTCCATTATCACTGAACTAGTATACATATTTATTTAGGGGCCAGCTGAAGGACGCCTCCGGGTGCGGGAGTTTCTCGCTGCATTGAAGACCCATTGGTGGCCTTCGGCTGTTGTCTGCTCTATGGTCGGGTCGTTGTCTCTTTGACACATTCCCCATTTCCATTCTCAATTTTATTGATATTTATTCATCAGTATTAAGGTATCTATATACTGTAAATTCAGAAATCATTGCGTGCATATATCATGGCGATTTTTGAAGAATGGACATAAATGCGAGATTAAGTATTGCGATTTGAGGAAAACACACGTTCAGACATATATATCATATATCTTAATGCGATTTATTATTGCGATACGTATCCAGTCGCATTATTCGCATAAATAAAAACCTCGCAATAATTTCTGAATTTACAGAAGTGTTTTGTAAACTTGTTTGCCTTTTCGTCGTTTTATTTTGCCATGACGTTGTCAGTTTCCTCCTGCTTATAAATTTTGAATATCCGAATCGTACCTACAGGTTGAAATGACCGTTTGTGTTCAAACTTGACGTTGTATTTTGCTGTTTATTGCCAAGCAAGCAGCACTTATAAGTTAGACAAATATTGGCTCGAATTCATAGTTATATATGTATATATATATATTGGGTTGTATGTCTTCTGCAGACTGTTAATTTGTCAGCTAAAACAAACCAAAAATCAGCTCATCTTGTTTGTTTTCAGTGCAAGGCATATTCGCAATTGATGAACATGTTATCGTCCGATGCATCCGTGAAACAGTTGAAGCAATGATAGCAAAATTAAAAAGATATTTTGATGAATTTATATTTCTTCAATTATTAAACAAAAGTTCAAAAGATACCATATGCCCTTTAGGAGTTGCTTTGGTATTAAATAAAATGCTAAAATATATTGTAATTTTCAACATAAGGATAAGTTCGAGATTCGAAAAGCCTGGTCGAAATTCCTCAGCTGCGGATGATTTTTAGATGATCTGTGAAGATCTTTTGTTATTCTTGTGTTCCCTTAACTATTTTGTATTTGCTTTATGTCGAGAACGTACGTGCGCGTCTAACGATGAAATATTAAAAAAAGAATTCAAATACATCTCTGGGAAAATATATATTTATTCGTTGACCCAATGAAATGTATATAATGTTATCATTAAAACAAATGAAATAATTTTATTGTAGCTTTACCACAGAAAATTGAAGGTAAGTTTTCCTGAGTATGTCAGTACTAATAAATCATGATTGTGTCTGAACCGAAATAACTTTGGATAAAAGAGTCACTTTGAAGTCTTTAATTCCGGCTCTTATCTATAACTGAGATAGGTAAAAAAAAAAACTCAAATTTGTGAATAGCTACCAACAGAGAATATGTGATAGCGATTCTACATAGAAGATTCATTAGTTGTCGGCATTGACAACCTTTAGGTTCAAACTGAGGTTTAAATTTTTAAAGAAATCAATAACTTTGTAAAAAATATATCAAATGTTCATAAGAATACACAGAAGCTCCATTGTTATAATACAACATTGAAAAGTTTGGATTTTCGTGTAATCATTTAGATAAAGTCTGTGAGTTAATGTTTTTACTCATCAATGTCTTTGTCAAACCAACATGGAATTTTATGAGACGTTGACAATAGCTGCTTCATGTTCAACAGATAGAATCTCGTCAATGTTTTTAAATATTTTTTTTTTCTGTTTACTTTAGTCTTTTTTGTAGTCAAAATTAAGGTACAGTCTACAAATACAGTTTTAAACTTCGACAAATTTACCAACGAAGTTTACGAAGAATGGACAAAACATTCCTAATGATCAACATGAAAAAACTATTTTGAAAAAAATTAGTAAAACATTATTCAATATTTTACTGACATATTGACATTACTTTTTATGGCAATAAGCATCATGGCATAAATTCGGATTTGTTTGCGCCAAATTTGGCTTATAAATGCAATTACTAATCTAACTTATGACGGGTGGTTGGTCGGGACCTGAAATTTGGACGCATGGGGTAGGTATGGTGTTTTTCTAATTATTTTTATAAACCATTTCAACTTCTAATGCTTCTTAGGACAGAACACATAAAGCGTATGTGTGAAAAAACGAGATTTCTCTTATCATTATGTTCGTTATAACAACTAAGCCTATGTGCTTAAATATTTAGTTTGTCTAACTCGTTTATTCCGCCTATATGATGACAAAATTCTCTACATAAGCAAATTTTTCTCACGTGAATTTCACATGAATCTCACCTCAAACGAGCTTATACGTAAAACTCACGTGAAAATGTTCACTGGAATTTCACGTGAATTGAGATTCACATGAATATCAATTGAAATTTTTCACGTGAATTTCACTTGAACTTTTCAAAACAAAATAGATATTTTCATGATTTTAATTAAATTTGAAAATTGAGATGTTATTTGATTAGCTTTATTCTGAAAATTCACATGAGCTTGACGTAGAAAAATTTCATTTGATAATCACGTGATATTCACGCGAGCTTGAAAAGAGATTTGCATGAAACTCACATGAATTTCATGTGAGATGATTCACGTAAATTTCAATTTACGTGAAATTCACGTGAGTGAAACTTCCCTGTATACTTTCTTTTTTTATTATTATTTCTTATCTATTTGGGGTTAAATCGCCAACGCTAATAAAACAGGTGCCGATTAAAAACAATTCATTTTACTTTATCACTTGTCTTATTACCCACTTAACGCTCGAAATCTTGAAATAATAGACCTCACATTGGGAGGGGGCTAATATAACCCTTATGCAAATTCTTATGTGGCGTACTATTTCTATTCCAATTGTTAGTTTCACTCAATTTAACAGAATGTAAGCAGACGAAAGCAGATATCTTTTTCGTTGTTGACGAGTCTTCTAGTTTGCACCAGGAAAAAAACTTCCAAAGGGAACTTACCTTTGTCGCCTCTGTGATTGACCAACTTGAGGTTGGCCGCGATGATGTCCGAGTTGGAATGATGACATTCAGCAGTGACCCAAGAATGCTTTTCCAGTTGGATGACTTCAAAACAAAAGAACAGATGGCTACCCTATTGAAATCTATCCCATGGCGTGGTGGGGACACATATTTAGACAAAGCTTTGAAACGTCTTATGACAGATGGTCTTGTAGCATCACATGGTAGCCGAAACAATGTACCACAGATAATAATTGTTATAACTGACGGGAAATCAACTAATCCAAGAGAAACCGAGAAGATGCTGGTTGAGTTACGCAGGAGGAACTTTATTGTTTTTGCTATAGGTATGCTTGAATTGTTAATATTTTAAAGCCAAAAAAAAAGCCACAGAAAGACATGTATTTCTAGGTAAAATGATTTTGATATGTCATCTATGTACAGTGCAAAATACTTAGTGTCATTTCCAAGATCAACAACGATTCTTTGTTGGTCGTATTGTTTCCTTTTTCGGAACGCAAAAGTAATGTTTTATGAAAGTCATTCCAACTTGATCTGTTTTGACCCGTTTGATACTATTTGTTCTGGGACATAAAGCTTCTTAACACTCTTAATCAACTTATCTATCCCTTATTCTTTACCTTTAGGTGTTGGACCACAACGAGATCCCGCAGAACTACTACGCATTGCCTCCGATCCTTCTTATGTGCTGGAAGTTGAAAATATTGATGGCTTGGTTGAAATAAGGAAGAAGCTAATCACGCAACTGTGTCCAGGTTTTTCAATTATTATTTTGTATTGCAGTATAGTATTTGATAGCATGAACCCATTGCCATTGTAAATATCAAAACAATTATGTTGTCACATCAGTTAAAATTACATAATTTGCATTTCTGTGTCATAATGCTAAACCAAAGAGTAATAAATTTTTCATAATGAAGAACAATTTAATTTTAATGTCATAGCTGTTTCAAGTTAATCTGTTCACCTATTTACCAAATCATATACTAAATGAAAAAGGCAGAACATAGAAAAAGAGGAGCTGGTTAGACAACAGTTCAATGTACTCGTATTGCTGCTTTTTTGTCTTTATGGAAATTCAGGCAGGGTTTAATTTATTGTTAAGTTTTGCTTGAGTGTTTGAAATCGATTAGTTATAGGTTTAGTGCTATTGTATTTCTAAAAGGATGTTCGCTGCTCTTTTTTTTTTAAATTTTTTTGTCAGATATCTGGAAGCTTCTTGTATTTATTCTTGTGGTGTCATTAAGAATTTAAATCGCTAAACCTTACTTTTCTTTTTATTTTCTTTCATATAATTTGAAATCTTATAAATCTTTGTCATTTTTTCATTGTTTTTTTTTTTAAGAAAATAGGTGCCAATTTAAAATGTATGAAAAGTCAAGAGAGAGTCATTTCCCGCCAAATTTGCAATGGTTTAGATCTCTAAAACAAGGTAGGACACGGACCTTTCATTTTTTCAGCTTTTTCAGTTCGAGCAGAGAACATCCTAAAATCCAAGATAAGAGTTAAGTGTTGAACACAAGGAATATTAAAATAACAACCAAATCGGTCAGTGACAGTATTTCTACTTTCATTTTTATATATTTCAGGAGATCGACCAGAACCGCCAAAACCAATAAGTAAGTGATCGTGCTAATTATCGTTAATGTAAATATTAGATGTATTGTACTCATGGTAAAGTTAACTACAAAAAAAACAACCATTAAAAAATCCAGTTAACGCTGACTATGATTTTTTTACAAATTAGCGAGCAAATTAAAAAAAAACATATGCTGATGTAACTCTTGTTTTACTCTGAATTTGAAATCTGCGTTTTTTGGGGGATTTGATGGCTCATCTTAGTTTCCGATGTTTAGCACTGCTACTGCTACACTTCCAACTTCATTTTAATTATTGTCAATTGTTTTTCCTGATCAGTTATATAACTCCTATCATTACCGATATTATTCTAATATAACAATGGACTTATACTACAGAATAACGGGTCAACGCATAAAAATAGACACATAAAAGACAAAAACCATAAAGAATAAAGAATAATGGGGTGTTAAAATATAAAGAACTTAGTATAACGAGCATGAAATATATAAGGTCCAAAGTCCAAAATAGTGGAGTATAGCCTTAGAGCAACATGTCTCTTCCTTTGCTAACAATATACACAATAATCTCTGTTAAGAAAATGAGAACAAAGTATGGAGTACCAACTATGGTTTACCACGTGAAGTGCAACAAATATTTTGTTTCATTTTTGCTGGTACTACTAAACAGAATGACCCTTTTTTTGGACAGCAGTTTGTATTGATTAGTTTTAACATGTGAGCATTTTACGGTTCTGTCAGACCCATAATTCGTGTTTGCCGATAATTTGAATTACTAGTTGGGCGTGGTTGACACTACAAAGCATGCATTTTTATCTAAATTACCAATCTAGATTTTCGAAAACAAATTACCATATAGCTTGAATAAAATACTATTTTATCTTACAGCTTGCCAAGGAGCAATTGCCGATATCATATTTATAGCTGATAGTTCGACGAGTATAGGTATCACTGCCTTCAAAGACCTTAAGGAGTTCGCCAAATCTGTGGTAAACAGATTCACCATCGGTCCAAATAACATTAAGATAGGTCTTGTTACTTTCGCTGATGATGCTGAATTCCAGTTTCGACTGAATACGTTTAATGATAAGACTGAAGTGATAAAGGCCATCTCAAACATGCCATACAGTACCGGAAACACAAATACACATAAGGCTTTGGAATTACTCAATAAATTTGGGTTTACAGCTAATTTTGGAGGAAGAGGAAATAGAGTACCTAAAATAGCTATCGTTATAACGGACGGAGCATCGAGACAACCCACACTGACGAGAACTCTGGCTATTAAGGCAAAAAATCAAGGAATAATGATGTTCTCAATTGGTAAGTTTGAATATTTTGAAGGTCATTAAAAAGACAATGTATTCAAAGTAAGAAATTTCTGGACAATCAGAATGCAAAGAGATAATAAACCTACAAATTAAAAAATTACGTCAATTGATGTGATTAATCAAATTTGAGGTAGGGCTAATTTCCCCGGTATTTGGTCCACTCACAGGGTCAGTTTTTGACAAACTGCATCGCAGGACATTGGTTACCAAAAGAAATAAATCTAATCCGAAAGATAATACATAGATTTGCTACTTACAGATTATTGGTTTTGGGTAACGAAGTCCAATTTGGATGAATTTGACAAAACTTGACAAAATTGATGGCTATCTCCAAGCGTGTATTATTTAGTTTTTTTTGTTTAAAATCAATATTGATATTAATAGAACCTTAAAGTACACACATTTGGTTGTGATATAATGAATTCTAGTAAAGATTGAAAGTCTTTTTAAAATGACTCTTGGAAATTGCCCTCACCTCTTTGAAATTTAAATGATATTTTTTGGTAGATTTGACTGTTTCAAACTTTTACGGCTATTCTGTATAATCCCGCCTGGTCCTCATGAAGTTCGCTTAGTCTTTTGTTGAACTATATGTTATATGGTTTGAACAATATTTTAGAAATACCTTGTCAGTGTATTTTTCAGAACCAGTTGAACATTAAAAGAGTACTTCAGAATCTATACTAATCGATAAAAAAACTAAATTTTATTTTTTGTAGGAGTTGGACCTTACATAGACCAGAATGAGCTGGACATCATGGCATCTAGTCCTACCTCAATGTATTCGTTTTCTGTTGATAGTTTTGCTGCTTTGTCGTCAATAGAAGGTTCCTTAGCTAATAGGACATGTACAGGTACATAATGCATAATAAGAATGTACAGAGAAGCGACACACGTTCCACACAACTTTTGTTTTCTTTGTCGCACTGATCAGATATACGTATGATGCTTTTTTATAATATGTGACTTGTTTTAACTGGTTCCCTGTCATTTATCTGTTTGGTTCTGACAGACAACAAGGGTGTCTCAGATACCCGTATGTTGCAAGGGAGAACACCAGCCTAGTGACATGTTTTGCATTTGAGTTATCTACCGTTTACCTGAAAATGCTCAACTAAAATAACTCAAAGGTAAAACAAGTTTCAAAACTCATTACAAATACATGTTATGTCTGTTAAGTTTAAAAGTAAAGTAAAGTGTAAGTTATGTTGCTTCTCTGGACGCTTCCCTTTATCATAACACGCTAGATTGCCATCATTTATAAGGATAAGCAAGACACGTCATAAGTAAGTTCTTCTTAATGTAAGTAAAAGTGTCATACGTTCCCATTACAAATAAATTACAAAAAAAAATACTTAATAGTATAAGTTATTTTTATATACACGATGCATTGTAGATTCGATTCGCTGTATGCCTGTAAACAAAGGATCCAACATCCTCAATTAAAGATAACCTTGGGTGAATTCACCTATATTTAAGGTCCATTTTGGTCAGATATCTCTTCACGTGTTTAAGTCTTACTATGGATTCATTTATTGTCGTGTAAAAAAAAATTATGGATTGAAGGCAAAATTGTAATTATGTGGATATATGATCTCGTAGATTTCGAGGATTTGCAAAACTTTGTACACAATATTACAATTTGTACTACATTGAACATTTACGTTCGTGGTTTTTATCTAACAACAAATTAATAAAATTAGTACCCCTCAAATGCCTGCTTGTTTGACTAATTTGTACAAAATGCACACACAATTATTAAGAAATGAAAAGAAAAATTTGCAATATTAATATCTTTTAAATTCACCGTCCCGTACATATGTTACTTACAGTACGTTAACCATGTCCTTTGACATTCCAGATCATATTATTACACTTATTGAGAATACTGTTACATATAAGGATATTTTGATCCAGATAATTACTAAATTCCATATCAAAGTGTATTCCTCAGGTTTATTCTCTTTGACAAAATCAGTTTAATAGCGCATATGAAGGACATCTACACGATTTAAATGATACTAGTATAATATTTTTTTTTCAGCTGCAGGACAAAGAAATCCGTGAGAAGATACATGTCAGCTATAAATAAAATCGTGAGTATAATGTCATTTCTTTCTTCCTTTTATTGTATCAAAACGAATAAGAAGATATTCTAAGAGTAATTTCATCCAAACAATGATATGTTTCCATGGTTCTGAAGGTCAAACTTTAGTACACTTGATTACTTTATAGACAGAAAATTAAAAAAAAAATGCATTACAGCGTATTTTCAATCTATTTTTCTTTGTTTTGTGCTCTAAAATATTATGCTTTTGTATAATTATTCACCAATGCAACGTTAAACATACATACACATTATACGTAAAAATCGCATGCATCACGTGATACATAAATAAAACCCATTTTTGATAAATTAACTCTTTATATTGAATATTGTTATTATTTCAAAAGAATATAGCAAAACATTTTGATTGGTTAAAATGTCTTTTACAATGAAAATTAAACTCATGACGAGGCTACTATTTAATTTGGGGGTAAGAACATGAAATTACCCATAGTTTTCAAGATTATGAACCAGCTAATAACAATATAATTTTTGGCATCATTACAATTTTTTTTTAATTAAATTGATTGATTGGTCAATTGATTTATTTATTTGTGTATTGGGGATAAATATAACATAAATGTATATTTCAGGACTTTGATGGGATAGCAGCATTTTTGTAAAGACTGTAGAAGGATTCTGCTGTCAATACATCATTATATTTAAATATATATCTTTGTACCAATAAAACTAATAATAGTGTCATTCAATTGGCTTGTTAATTTTCAAACTATATAACATCAAGGTTAAGTTTTCAACCATTTCGTATGAATTTTGAATATGAATGCTCAGGCACTTTCTTTAGGATTTTACGTCACCTGACAGCGCATGTCCGTATATTACACATTGTCGTAAATGTCCAATTTTGAGAATGTTTTTTAAAACAGTTGAATGTACTGGAAGAAGAATATGGCTATTACATATCTGAAAATAATATCTTCTGACGCAAAAAGATGGACGTGCATTCTAGTATAGTTCTAAATCTAGAATACCAACACCTTATTAGAATAATTTAACCAAATAAATATGATAAACAAACACTAATCGAAATTATAATTGGTGCCCTACATGAGCGTTCAATCTACATAATATAAAAATAAGAAGGTGTGTTATGATTGCCAATGAGACCAGTCTCCATAAGAGACCAAATGACATAGAAATTAACAACTATAAATCACCTTACGGCCTTCTTCAACAATGAACAAAACCCATACCGCACAGTCAGCTATAAAAGGCCCCGAAATGACAAATGTAAAACAATTCAAACGAGAAAAATAACGGCCGGATTTATGTTTAAAATAATGAACGAAAAATCAAATATGATACACAGCAACAAACGACAATCACTGACTACCCATCAGTGCAACTATGCTTAACTATTGTTCGTTGAGTACTAAACGCCTTCTCCTTAACCTTGGACAATTGTTAGAACAATACATGTATCTGTACCTCCTCTCATACACAAGTACTTTAATGAGTTTTGTATTTTCTATATTTGACTTGCTTTGTGTTTTCAACATGATGAATAAAATAACTGAAGGTACGACATTTAGCATCAGATACGGATCCATAATTTTGAAAAAGGGGGGGGGGGGGGTCCAAAAACTAGACAAAATTTTGTAGTGGAACCGGTAAAAAGTCTGGATTAACCATAAATGAAGCTCCATAAGGGGGCCCGGGCACCCCGCCCACCCCCTTAAATCCGCCTCTTAGCATTGCATTTGGTCATATAATGAATTTGTGTTTCTACATAATGTTTACATCACGCTTGATGTGTATCCAATACATTCTGTTAGTTTAAAACACATATAAAGCTACTATTAGTACGTATACGAAGATTGGTTTTCGTACTGCAGAATGACGGATTACTTAAATCAAATATATGTATGTGCCTGTCCCAAGTCAGGAGCCTGTAGTTCAGTGGTTGTCGTTGGTTCATTTCTGTCATATTCGTTTTTCGTTAATTGTTTTGTTATAAATTAGACCGTTAGTTTTCTCGATTGAATTGTTTCATATTTTTAATGTCGGGGTCTTTTAAAGCCGACTATACGGTATGTGTATTTCTCATTGTTGAATGCCTATAATTGCTTACATCCACTTTATTTGAACTTTGGTGGATAGTTGTCTCATTGGAAATCATACCTCGTCTCCTTATTTTTATACACTTGTTTTTCTGCTATCTTTGACATCATGATATTTTCTTAATAAACCAAGTTTTTTCTCAAAACTGAAGAATAATAGTCTTCTCGAGAAAAAAAAATTGAAAAGCATGTTTTAGTTTCCCAAACTTTTGGTAGCGGTGGACTTAGAAACACATGTAGTTAGTACGGACATTGGTATCATAAACCTCCTAGTTTCGGAGCACATCACAAAAATAAAAAAAACAAAAACTATTTCAATACGACGGTACAAAATAAAAAGGGTAACCTACATTCGATATAAGATTGTCGGCGTTAGATATAATTGGTCGTAATAGCTTGTGTTAATTCTTCTATGGACTTAAAATATCAAGCGCCTGACTTTTGGAGTTCATGAAGTTATTTGAGCAAAACATTTACATCAAACGTCTTAGCGCAAGACTTTATACCTCGATTGTATATCTCCAGAGACAACTTTCCGTTTTAGGACAATCATATATCTTTTGCCTATTTATCTGATTTAGATCTACATGTCTTTATTAACAGCCAACTTTGTATGGTATAAGCTACCTTCCAAGTGATTTTAAAAATAAAATCGAGCACGTTTTGCGTGTAGTTGGAATTCAAACTATATATTGGATTCATTATCTTGTTTATAGGAAGCATGCAATAACTTTGACCTTTAAATTTGACTTTTGCGTATCTATCATGTTGAATCTACATGTTGTGCGATTACATAAAATACCTTGACAAAAACTCATCAGGCTTATTAATTTGGTACACCAGATGGTAGTCCCTATTAATGACGGTAACATAGTAAATATAGTCATATAAACTACTTCTGTTGTCATTCAGGATACGGTTTTACTCTCGTATTTTTATACATGTACATTGTATCTATAAAATATCCAATTTTATCGGGTTTTTTTTTTGTAAAATATAATCTCTTTCAGAAATACTAACCAATCTACATGTAATACACCGATGAACATGTTGCCTCTTTGTATTTTGTGTAAACTCAAATAAAAAAAAATGTTTAAAAGAAAAGTCATGTCAATTATCTTTTGACTCTGGTGTAGTCTATGTTTCTCAACTTGTGTTAATTATTACCCCTTGGTATCGTCTTTACTTTATTCTAAATAATCACATTCTTCTGTTATTTTCCTTATTTCTTTTGACTTGTCAATACTTTTATCAATTATCTTGTTCTTATTATACACAAACGCTTGGACAAATAGGCATCGTCTGTAAGATTCACTTGGTCAGATGGATATAAAACAATCTACGTAAAAAAGCCACTAGTGAATCAGAGGTTTGTTGGGGAAATCCGAAGTTCCCGATGTCTTTTCATTTTCTATTTACTCTCTGGTCTTTTTGACAGTCAATTTGTAAATAACGGAACAGATTCCTTCCGCGACTAGAAGGCCACCATTTATTCTCATAATGTTAGGGTCATATTTCAACTGCTTGGTGTGAGATGACATTGTCCGGATGACCTTAATTATAGTAGTCGTATTTGGAAATGATGAATAATCATATTACTTTAAAGGAATAAGTAAAAAGCACCAACTACGTATTAATGCTGCATACTTTAATAAATAATTATGTGTAACAATACAGGGGAAAATGCATATACTGTTTCTTATTCACATTCATTCTAGGTACAGTGCTTATTTGGATGTGATACTTTCTGAAAGATAAAATAAGTAATGTTATAACATGAGCCATCATATTGGAAATTCAGAAACGAATCAAAGTAAATTATTTTCTTAGTAAACAGAAATAAACAAATCAAGGAATGTATATAACATATACAGCAAACGGAGCTTAAGGATGTATTTAGGTCAGGTTTAGGAATTTTTGTCGGATGTTCGGACTCCTTGTTTTTTTTCCTACGAAAGGTAAATATTTTGCCCCATAACACCCATTTTTCTTTTCCTATACGACTTCAATAGCTCATAAAAGGTCATTTACCAAAATTTAAGCAGATTCTAGATTTATTTTCTTTCGATTTGAGACCAGAATAATACCAATGCAAAATAAGGTTAAAGTCCGAGTCAGCCTTTTCCCGCCGTTTTTTAAAGATTAAATATCTCGAAAAAGAGCTCCATAACCTATCAATATTTATAGATTATTTTGTTCCTTAACTAATGCTCTTCTGACTTCTAGTATAAATTTTAGATTCTAGATTTTTTAATTTCACCTTAGTACATCCTTAAGTTAATGCAACAGTTGTTTATGGATGTTATAATCCCGTAATTTGGGAACACTTCAAGTTAAGAAAACAAAAACTGAAGGAATCGCATGGTCTCAAAAAGGAGCAAAACCAGGTGCATCCAAACGGTACACAGGGAAATTTTACTCGCATGAATTTCACGTGAATTTTAATTCATGTGAATCTCACGTGAAATTCACATTTATTTCACCTCAAACAAGCTTATACGTGAAACTCACGTGAAATATGTTCACGTGAATCTCATGTGAAACGCGCGTGAATTTCACGTGAATTTTGAAAATAAAGTTATTCAAATAAAATTTTAATTTTCAAATTTGATTAAAATCTAATTTTTTTTTTGGTAAAGTTCACGTGAAATTCACGTAAAAAAATTCACGTGAGATTCATGTGAATCTCAATTCACGTAAGATTCATGTGAAGTTCACGTCAGCAAAATTATCCTGTGTAATGATACTATTACTCTGAAGGTCAATATCTCTTTATTGATTCTTCTATAATTACTTTAAAATACAGGGCGATCTTAAACACGGATACGTAGAAATGCGCTTGAGAGAGAAAAAATACATCACTTATGAATACATGAAACTATTTGAGTGTGTATACTGTACATAAATTTCAAACAGCTTGACTGGGATAGACAGCTAGTACCCTTTTGATATTTCATGTTTTGATTTGCAAATTTCAAAATTAGTAAACAAAGGCTACATTGATTTCAACGTCCATCTTGCTAGCAAGCAAAACTAATACCGTTGTACTTTGTACACATTCGAATAAATATTCTGAAATAATTGTTGCAGTGCTAAAGACTGGATAGTTTGTCGCAGTAATGCTTGTTGGTATACAAAGGGAAATAATGCAATCACATTGATTCTTGAAAAATGTTAACCACAAGGATATACGATATCAAATGACGTTGAAGTCTACCTACACCATTTGAAATCTTTACCTTTAAAAATGAATCTAAATCTATTAATCGTGGCTCATACATTCATAAATAATTGCAACACGAGTCTTTAGAAATAATTAGAATAACTTTCAAACTAAATGAGAGGCCTTCGTTTCAAATATAACCATTCGGAAAAGCATCAGATGTTGTACAAAAGTCCTTTTTGTAGTTAAATATTTCATATTATACTTAGAGATATTTACCAATATGCCTGACTAAATTCAATTATTGCTGATATAACATAAGTCCACGAATTTAAATTGCCGTATGACTTGCTGTAAAAAGGGATTGTATTATCTGAAAAAAATAGCTTATGAAATCACAGTCAAATTGTATCATCAATGCTTGGCTGATATTCACAATTTACGAAAGCCTTTCTCCTGATTCTGAAAAATGCTAAGTAATGGTATATGTTATATTTTCGGTGCATGTACAGGCCAAAAACATTCCGAAAATGAACCTTCTTTCTAATTTTCTAAATAAATATTTGTAATAGTATATTACCTTTTCATTTCATACGATCCACATACATCTTTAAAAGAATAACCCCTTTTTTGTCTTCCTTGAAGCTAGAATAAAGACAATACAAGTTTAATACAACCTTTTGATAATTTCATACTTTTGGTAATTTTAAAGGAGGTATAATGATATCTAAGTGTGACATAAAAAGTCCAACTAAGACCATTACATATATATATATATATCTTTTTGTTAAAGTATTGACGTCTGCTGTGAGTGTTTTTTTTTATTTGTGTTGAGTGTTATGAGGTGTGGATGGGGGTTTACCGAAAAGAGAATAACGGGCAGAAAAAATAAAGAATAGAGAAAAATGAGGTGCTAAAATATGAAGAAGTATAGAGAATAATCGGCAAAAAGTATAAAGAATAAAGAAAAATTACCTAAAATATTAAAGAATACAGAAATGAAGGACCCCCCCCATCTATAACGGAGTTATATTTTTGGATTTAAAGAAAGCTTTGGATCTGGTTAATCATATTATTTTATTAAAAAAGCTTGAATATTATAATGTTTCAAACTGTACACTAGACTGGTTTAAGTCATACTTGTTTGAACGAAGTCAACAAGTTAAGGTCAATAACGTCATGTCTAATACTAAATGCATAAAAACTGGTGTACCACAAGGCTCTATCCTTGGCCCTCTGTTATTTATTTTATATATCAATGATTTACCACTGAACATAAAAAATTCATTAATAGATTTATATGCAGATGATTCTACATTACATAGATAAGGTAATAATGTACTTCAGTTAACTGCTAACCTTCAAAATGATATTCATGTAATTGAAAACTGGTGTTCGCAAAATTGTATGAAACTAAATGCCAAAAAGTGTAAATCAATGATTATTGGTTCACAACAGAGGCTTTATTCAACTGGGAACAGTTTAGATATCAAAATTTCAGATGAACAAATAGAGAATGTAGATTGTGAAAAACTTCTCGGTTTATATATCGACAAAAACCTAAATTGGAATGAGCAAATAGATAAAATGTCATGTACAATATCAAATAGAATCAATTTATTAAAAAAGATAAGAAAATATTTACCTATGCATATACGTATTATTTATTTTAATGCTTATATTCTGCCATTGTTTGATTATTGTTGCAATATATGGGGAAGTTGCTATGAAAGTGGAATAAATAAACTTAATAAGTTATTAAAGAAATCTGCTAGGGTTATAGTAGAAGCTGACATAATGACATCATCCAGTTTGTTGTTTAATAGTTTAAACTGGTTAAATGTGGAAAAACGCATTCAATATCAAAAGGCAATACTTGTATTTAAATCATTAAATGATATGGTTCCTAACTATTTACAAGAAAACTTTCATTTTATTGGTAATCAGAATTATAATTTACGTTCGGCTGATGAAAAACTATTAAATCTTCCGAAACCAAAAACAAACTTTTTAAAGAAAACATTTACATATTCAGGTTCTCAAATATGGAACAGTTTACCAAATGAAATAAAAATGAGTAATACACTTGTATCTTTTAAAACAAAATGTTACAAATTTTTCATCAATTGTACAAATTAATATGCTTTTTCATTATTATCTAGATACAATTGTATATTGTGTATAATATATCATTATAATATTGTATGTACTTATAAATATGTTATCATTATTTTGAGGACTCTCAGGAAGATTAGTTTTAACTAATGGGATTATCCTCTTGAAATAAAGATTATTTATTTATTTATTTATTTATTTATTTATTTATTTATTTATTTATTTATTTATTTATATTTAGGCCCATTGTTATCATAATCACAGATGATCCGATATTCTCCTTGGACCCTACTGATAAAATAATTCACCGGTGTATTTTGATTATGTTTAATGTATTTTACTGGCTACAAAACTACGGAGTGGTCCAAATGGAAAACGTTTGAACGATAACTCTTTGCGATATATTTGTATTGTGGTTTACGACTAAAAATTATCAACGTCGATTAAAACATTATGACTTCGGTGATAAATTCGGGTCAAGGTTTTTGTGTCTGCATCAACGTATTTTTAACGTCACATGATCGTGATTTGATTTTTCGAAGATCTGGGGTGATATAAACCAGGCAGAGGAAAAACCGATATGCGGTAGTGTACAGAAATTTGGATGATAAAATGCGTTTTCAGGACAAAAGTACTGTCAAAGTCATTAACATCACCTTGTGATAAAAATCTTCTAAGTAAATTGATCAAATATAGAATAGTCTCCTAAAAGGAGATACGAAAAATAGTACCTGTGCACGTCTTTTCTGCTAAGGATTCTTCAATAGATGATAAAGCTGCATAGTTGTCAACTGCGAAAGAATGAGTTTCAGTCGGAGAAGAAGCCATGAAGTCTAATTCAGTCTGATCAATGTATTGCCCGACGCCTACAATAAAATTCCCAAAACTGTTATGCCTTTAAACGAAAAAAAAATGATGCCATGACATCTATTTTTTTTATTATTTTCTCTCTTTTTTTAAGTTAATGAGATTTCTCTTCCGTCAGACAAAAATATTTATGTCGATGTTTTACATACAGAAAACATCAATTATTTCTTCCCAACTTTGATAGAACTGATCCGATTTAGTATGGCATTTTGTATCGATATTCAATTTGTCTTTTGAATGAATTATTTTAGCTAAAAATTAGAATTTATTGGTGTTCCGAAAACTGGGAGCGCTTGTGATAACAATGTTACTCCATATTCTGTGAATTAAGAATCTCATATATAAAAGGTACAAAACATTTGCGTGTTATATTTTGAATTACGTTACAAGACAAAGTGCATCAATAATACTGTCAGTAGTTTTTATTTAGAAATTGATGGAAAAAACTGTAAATTGAAGGACTGTCACATCTTGTTTCGTATTAACTTTATAATGAAAAACTTCTAAACTGAAGACATTTGAGGAATGCAGAGACTAAAATTACCAAATTCTTTGGATACACAAACAAACAATTATACTGCAATACACTAACTAAATGAACAATACTTTGGTCGTCCTAAAACATGTAAAAGAATAGATATATAGTTACCTATTGCGAAAATAATGATGCCCTCTTGCTTCCCTTTCTCTGCTGCTATGCGTGTTGCTTCAATGTCTGTTGGTTCACCATCCGTTATCAAAATGGCAATTTTAGGAATCTTCCCACCTCGTCCGCCATTTAGGTTAGAGAAACCATATCGAGTTAGCAAGGTTAAAGCTTTGTTTGTGTATGTCAACTGCAATCCCTGTAAGTACTTTACATTAGATATAGCCTTAAGTACTTCGTCCTGGTCTCTGTACGAACCTAATGTAAATTCAAATTTGGTATCGTTTCCAAATATAATGAGGCCCACTTGTATATCACTTGGACTGACAGTGAACCTCTTCACCACATCAACAGCAAACTTTTTCAGTTCGTTAAATGCTTCAGATCCAATACTCCTAGAACTATCTGCAACAAAGATTACGTCTGCCTGTGCCCCTTTACAACCTGAAAAAAAAACTTATAATTGTTCTTCATATCATCATGATCGTCTGTCCACAAGGGTTGTATAAAATGCCCGTTTTTCAGGGGCGGGTCCAGGTGAGGGCGTAATGGGCGTACGCCCCCCCCCTTTTAAAAAAAATTTAAAAAAAAACTATCGTAATCTGCTAATATTGTATTGAATATGGCAATTTATCATATTAATTAATTGTTTTATGTTTTTTTTAGCAAAAAAAGGTCCAAAAAATTTATCGCCTCGCTCCGCTAGGCAAATATTTCATTCTACGCCCCCTCTTTCAAATATCATAGAAACGCCCCTGTTTTTAGAGGATACCTGGTTATTGTAATGCTACAAAATTTTCGCTACTCGTAAATTTATAACGCATTTATATGACTAAGGTCAAATTTATGGTTTTGTTTGTTTTGAGTTCCACTGCACGATGATAACAATTGACATTAGTATAACATTGTTTTATAGTGCAGCTGATGATGGCTTCAATTATAGTTATTAAGATGTAAACACAAAAATAACTTACTTTCCATTCTTTAACGAACCCCTGATAGTTCAGAAAAATGACGTGACATGATATTGGCATTGCACGAAACATCACTTTTTTATTATATTCAGTTAATAAACATAACTGGAAGTTTGCTGGCTGCAAGATAAATAACATTGATGCTACTTGATACTTACCCACTACGGGTGGTGCTGGCTGGTCACCTGTAATTTAAAAAGATGTACAGTGGTAACAAAAAACAACTAAGCAATTGCAAATGTATTGATGAGAAATAATTCAAATAAAAACCTGTTTCATCTAATGTCGGTGGTTCTCTCCTTTCACTCCGACTTCCTCCACCAAGAAAAAAACAGACCGACACAAAAGGCCAATAGTGATAACCGTATAAATCAATCAATCAATCAATCTAATGAAATATGGATGGAGGAACTGATTTTATATATGTTAGTTAATTACTCTTCAGACAATTTTGACAAGTTGTGATCCTCAGTTTGTATTATCTGAATAGTAGAGTATCTTGACGTGTTTGACACAGTGTTTCTATGGTGTTTTTTTTTCTTCTTCTTCAAAATATGTCCCTTGAAAAAAACTATGAAAGCTGATAGTATAAAAAGATCTCTCACATTCAACGAAAATGGTCGATTCAGTCAAAATACGTTTTATCCGTATCTTGGAAATAGATTGATCTTTAATTTTATATGAATATTAGAAGTCTTTAATGCTTTTGTAAAAAAAAACTTTTTCATTTTTTCCAAGTGAAAATTATATGAAAATCGGTTGAGTAGTAAAGGGGTTGATAGAACTTGATTTCATCAATAAAAATCCTGTTTGGCTGAGTATTTTTGCAACTTTAATCCATTTTACCTCTTTCCAGATGTAAAATTAGGGTATGGATTTTAGTTTAAAAGTTAATAAACGGAATTTCTAAATTTGTTATAATAAGTCAAGATCGATGTATCTAGTAAATACCTTGTTCGCACAACTTGACTACCAATTCCTGTCTAATTGCTTGCAAACTTTGTACATTTTCTACTTCAAATACACGTGATGCGTCAGACGAAATTTTCTCCAACTCAACAGGATCACGTTTAGGTCCAACACCTACGAGATAAATGAATCAGTTTAAGTTATATTTTAGTAGAAATTCAAAAATCATTGATTTGATATGTCACTTATTTTCTAGATTCCATTGTGACTTCCTGTACTATTAGTTTTATAATCATGAAATGCATAAAAATATGATTTCAGCCGACAAAAAAAAATCATATTTAGGTAACTAGTTACCTTGTTGGTATACATTATATAAATAACACATAGCTGAGAGGGTGATAGAGCAGATTGTTACCCCGAGAAAACATTGTCAACTGAGGCGAAGCCAAGGTTGACAATGTCTTTTTGAGGGGTAACAATCTGCTCTATAACCCTCTCAGCTATGTGTTATTTAATTTATTATACTGAATGTTCTGTTATTACTATTAAATTTCAAATTCAAAGTAATGAACTATGTCGTCTTGTACATAACAATCATCCGTATTTATAAAAGCACACACTTGAGCAAGCGTCTCCGTGAAGGGTAATACAGTATTTGCCATGGGATAAAGTAAATTGTCTCCCTCGTATTAACCAATCAAAATCTGGCATTTTGACATGCAGTATAATAACATGAAATGAATAATGATGCTTAGCAAACTGACTAATCATAAAATAAAATTAACTTGATATTTACTATGAAAGTACACCAGGTTATTGCGTTATCTCTATTTTAAGACGTCTCGCAGTAAATTTCAGATCTTCCGTGAGTATGGGTTAGCAGAAATTATTGGAATTTTTAATATATCTTTGCATTCTAGAGAGAAAAAAAATAAATGTGTCAACCAAGGAATCACTTTCTTAACTAGTCTTAGTGGAATAGTACTAAATACTTGAAACTGTATATATTCTAGACACATCCTATAGCCAGTTTACTGTCGACCTTTAGATATTATTTTATGTAATTTGGGTCGTTTAACAATTACAGACACAGAGCCAAAGATATTGAACTATAACACCTTTACATGAAAAAGTACTAATTACAGTATGGCATACCTATGGCAAATACTAAATAATTAGTTTGCCGTAACTCATTGACTGCCTTTTCAAACTCCTTCCGATCTGTCGCTCTCCCGTCAGTGATGATTACGGCTATCTGTGGAACACCATCACGGCTGCCATGTGACGTTGATAGTCCTTCTTTCATTAAAAGCCTTAGAGCTTTATCCATATACGTATTACCTCCCTTCCAATCATTAGCATTCATCTCCATTAGTACTTTAGCGATTTCCTCTTTTGTTTTGAAATCGTCTAATTGGAATAACATTTCCGGGTCATTACTAAAGGTCATCATTCCTACCCTCACCTGATCAGATCCAACTTCAAAAGCATCTATTACATCTCCCACAAAATTAAGTTCCTTTTTAACATTTTCAAATACGTTCAGACTGGATGATGTATCAACAATGAAAAACACATCAGCTTTTTTCTTGTAGCATGCTGAAAAAATCACAGATTAAACTTCAGACAAATTAAAAAGATACAAAAGTCTTAAGATGTTCCAAAATACATTTTTCTCGTTTGTGACCGTGCTTGTTAAATTACGAGTTAGCTTACACGGCTGGTAATCTACACACGCAGAACAATCGGTTCTGCAATGGAAATCGTGAGAGGATTTTCCGGTTATGCTTGAGTGGAGTAATTGTCACCGCTTCAAAAGGTATGTACATTTCTAAATCGCAATTTTTTTTATTCAACTGATCAAAATATTGAAAATCGGAGAATGCTATGCTGTGGTGAATACTTTAACAAAGAGATACATGTATCATTTACTGTTGTGCATGGAGTAAAACTCCTACAAAATCAATCGTCCCACGAGTAATTGCCGAAAAAAGTGACATTTAAATTTTGAGATGGTTCTATTAACAGACCTACAAGTTCAGATTTATTTTTTTTTTCTGTCAACGGGATTAAATGTCGTTTTGGGCGGCGTGTACGCTGTCCGAAGGTGATAGACGTCTTAATAAATCTAAAAAAACTGTCAATTTTCATGATTTCAGACGTGAGGGGATCGGTTCTGGTTGAGGACATCGTGACTGCGTGAGGGGAAGTGCAATCATATCTTTATATCGAAAAATGCAACAATCACTTCAAAGAAAGGCAAGTAACTTGCATAGTTTTATTGAAGTTTATAATAAATATAAATTGACAATGGAAATGGAAATGGCTACAACGTAAATATAAGTGGTTTAGATTTATGATTGACTATGTTTTTTTCTCGTGTGCATGTATTAAGACTTTAATCTATGTTTTAGATGGATAGAACACGACACCATTGCCTGCAGTGTGATAAGTCATATACTCAACGTCCAAAGCTGAACATCCATGTAAAGCTGGTACATGAAAACACATGAGTCGAGAAAAGTCACAAGGCCAAAGATTAAAAAAAATGTTTGCACTTCCCCTCAAGCATTCACGATGTCCTCAATCAGAACCGATCCCCTCACGCATGAAATAATGAAAATTGGCAGTTTTTAGATTTATTAAGACGTCTATATCACCTTCGGACAGCGTACACGCCGCCCAAAACGACATTCAATCCCGTTGACAAAAAAAACTAAATCTGAACTTGTAGGTCTGTTAATAGAACCATCTCAAAATTTAAATGTCGCTTTTTTCGGCAATTACTCGTGGGACGATTGATTTTGTAGGAGTTTTACTCCATGCACAACAGTAAATGATACATGTGTCTCTTCGTTAAAGTATTCACCACAGCATAGCATTCTCCGATTTTCAATATTTTGATCAGTTGAATTAGAAAATTGCGATTTAGAAATGTACATACCTTTTGAAGCGGTGACAATTACTCCACTCAAGCATAACCGGAAAATCCTCTCACGGTTTTTATTGCAGAACCGATTGTTCTGCGTGTGTAGATTACCAGCCGTGGCTTAAGGATGTTCGTTCTTCTTGTTTTTGAATTTTTGCCAGATATTCGAAATCCTCTGGTTTTATCCATGTAGTGCCATTAAAAAAAATTTCCCAATAACCCCTACTTTTCTTTTCATAATTTGATTAAATATAGTTTGAAATGCCATCTTTGAAAATCTTATTAAATCCTTGTTATTTGTTCATACTTTTAGACAGAAAAAAAGGTGCCAATGTTAAATGTATGAAAAATCTAGAGAGAATCATTTCCCGCCAAATTTTCAATGGCTTATATCTCAAAAACAAGCACACGGACCCTTCATCTTTTTCTGCTTTTTAGTTCCTTTATTTATATACTATCAATCTATAGCAGTCTTTTAAAAAGCTTGTTATTTTAAAACAGAGTAGTTAACATCCTTTAACGTAAAGAAAATCTAAGTTAAATATATATTCAAGACAATTTGTAATGCTCATGTTGTTCATATTTGTTTGTTGGTTGGTTTTCTGAAGAATAAAAACTTGCTGTTTATTGATAGATATGAAAGCAGTTAGATATGCCATTACCATATAAACATTTATCCGCCTCTGTGTGGATACTGCTGATTGTGAACTATAGTACCTACCATCTGCCCAGTAGTCAGTGTGGATACTGCTGATCATGAACTATAGTGCCTACCATCTGCCCAGTAGTCAGTGTGGATACTGCTGATAATGAACTATATTACCTGACATCTGCCCAGTAGTCAGTGTGGATACTGCTGATCATGAACTATAGTACCTACCATCTGCCCAGTAGTCAGTGTGGATACTGCTGATAATGAACTATATTACCTGCCATCTGCCCAGTAGTCAGTGTGGATACTGCTGATCATGAACTATAGTACCTACCATCTTCCCAGTAGTCAGTGTGGATACTGCTGAACATGAACTATAGTAGGTACCATCTGCCCAGTAGTCAGTGTGGATACTGCTGAACATGAACTATAGTACCTACCATCTGCCCAGTAGTCAGTGTGGATACTGCTGAACATGAACTATAGTAGGTACCATCTGCCCAGTAGTCAGTGTGGATACTGCTGATAATGAACTATATTACCTGACATCTGCCCAGTAGTCAGTGTGGATACTGCTGATCATGAACTATAGTACCTACCATCTGCCCAGTAGTCCGTGTGGATACTGCTGAACATGAACTATAGTACCTACCATCTGCCCAGTAGTCAGTGTGGATACTGCTGATCATGAACTATAGTACCTACCATCTGCCCAGTAGTCAGTGTGGATACTGCTGAACATGAACTATAGTAGGTACCATCTGCCCAGTAGTCAGTGTGGATACTGCTGATCATGAACTATAGTACCTACCATCTGCCCAGTAGTCAGTGTGGATACTGCTGATCATGAACTATAGTACCTACCATCTGCCCAGTAGTCAGTGTGGATACTGCTGATAATGAACTATATTACCTGCCATCTGCCCAGTAGTCAGTGTGGATACTGCTGATCATGAACTATAGTACCTACCATCTGCCCAGTAGTCAGTGTGGATACTGCTGAACATGAACTATAGTAGGTACCATCTGCCCAGTAGTCAGTGTGGATACTGCTGAACATGAACTATAGTACCTACCATCTGCCCAGTAGTCAGTGTGGATACTGCTGAACATGAACTATAGTAGGTACCATCTGCCCAGTAGTCAGTGTGGATACTGCTGATAATGAACTATATTACCTGACATCTGCCCAGTAGTCAGTGTGGATACTGCTGATCATGAACTATAGTACCTACCATCTGCCCAGTAGTCCGTGTGGATACTGCTGAACATGAACTATAGTAGGTACCATCTGCCCAGTAGTCAGTGTGGATACTGCTGATCATGAACTATAGTACCTACCATCTGCCCAGTAGTCCGTGTGGATACTGCTGAACATGAACTATAGTAGGTACCATCTGTCCAGTAGTCAGTGTGGATACTGCTGATCATGAACTATAGTACCTACCATCTGCTCAGTAGTCCGTGTGGATACTGCTGAACATGAACTATAGTAGGTACCATCTGCCCAGCAGTCAGTGATTTGTTATAATTTAAAACATAGCGCTTTGTTGTGACTGAAGTGAAAAATGTCATGATACTTGTGTAGGCGCACAATAATAAGATCATTTGTTTTGTTTTTAAGGAATGATATACTTTAGTTACCTGGGTCCTCTCTCTGGGGTGGCGTTGTTGGAGCAGGTGGAGCAGGTGGAGCAGTCGGTACAACTAAAATAAATAAAAGGTTGTGTGTTATTGGTACTTCTTTAAAGATATAAGAGTAACTGATTAAGTAATTTTGATTAACAATCAAAGTAAATTAAATTTGTAAGTTTTAGGCGAAATGAGCGAAAGCGACAAGTAATTTTGATTAACAATCAAAGTAAATTAAATTTGTAAGTTTTAGGCGAATGAGCGAAAGTGACAAGTAATTTTGATTAACAATCAAAGTAAATTAAATTTGTAGGTTTTAGGCGAAATGAGCGAAAGTGACACAGGATATTTTGCATGAAGGGCGGTAGCGTTTCGTGCTAAACATTCACTGCGTTGCCTGTTTTCATACGGGTTCAAACTTTTAAAAAATCAGCATTTATCTTATTTATCTACAGTAAATGGGAATTGCATTTAGGCAAATTATACGTAATTCTGTGATATTTGGGATTTTGATGAAACTTTGAATCCATTTGGAACTCGTTAGCTTGAATCTTAATATTGAAACAAATAGGTATGTATCATTGATACTTTCAGAAATACATTCTATTTAACACTTATGAAATAGGTATGTGTAAATGTATAGAATGTATTTAAAAAGCGGCGAAAAATGCTGCATATCGAGCCTTATCGATTTTTGCACTTTACAAAAATAATCCGCTGACCCCCTAATACTTTTACATCATTAAAACGGAATTTACCTATAACACATCATTTTAATTATGTTGGTGGATTTAAGAAACAAAACCCAATTCAGTGTAAAAAAAATGCATATTTTTCGACGATTAATAATAAAAAATAATTCTTTATTGTCATATAAGTACAACATTATACTTGTGACAAATTCAAATAATAACAACAACAAAAAATAAACTGATTGGAATATATTCATAATTATATATATAAGTAAAAATAACTAAGAGTTTCCTCCGCTCTAAAGACTGTTTTATAAAGGAAACTGTGTTTTCACTTGGTTTATATTTGAAGGATTTAACAGGACTACTAGTTTTTCAGTATTTGAAAATAGAGGATTATCTATTGCGATGTCATTAAAAAGTTTAATACAAAATTTAATAGACCTGTTTTCACATTAAAAAAAACCCGAATATTTGAATAAGCTTTAAGCATAAAACACACATGAGGTATTCAGTCCATCCGTTATTAGAAAAATAATACTAGAAAATAATAATTATGAAATACTTGTCAAAATAGAAATACATTAGGTGAACTCACTTTTACAAACCCTCGTTAAAACTGTGTTTTTGATAACTGATGTGTCGAGGATGTCATAGGAATCAACTAAAATACTGAATGTTGCAGATGGTTTGGATGCCATCCCTTCTATCTCAGTTTTATCCACACCACTTCCAATTCCTATGGCAAAAACGTATGCTGGTAGGCTTTTTATATAAGACGCTGCAGTTTGGGTGAGTTGTTTCCCTTCCAGACCACTTATAGGAGAATGGCCAGGGTTTGTGTTGCCGTCAGTGAGGACTACTACAACATTTGCTATACCTGGCCTTTCGCCATTTCCATTTGCAAAAACTGTTTTATGGACGTATTCTAAGCCCAAGTAGGTTCTAGTCGACGATCCTGACACATAATTGATTTTGTCAACGGCATTAAGGACAGCCACTTTATTCTGGTAATCATTGAAGCCGAACTCGTATACCACATTGCTACTGAACGAAACAGCAGCTACTCGACTATGTCTTGTCCCGGGTCCGATGCTTAACATATCAACAACATCATGTATAAAGTTGATTTGTTTGGCAAAATTTGTTTGTCCTATGCTGGCGGACGTGTCAAGTAGAAACACAATGTCTACCGGTGAATCACACATCTGCGCTAGGGCTGAAAATGAAAATGAGTTATCGACATGACAAAAATTCAAGTAGTGCTAAGAATGAGAATAAGTTATCGAAATGACAAATTTCAAGTAGTGCTAAGAATTAAAATAAGTTATAGAAATGATAAATTCAAGTAATGCTAAGAATAAAAACAAGTTATCGAAATGACAAAATTCAAGTAGTGCTAAGAATGAGAATAAGTTATCGAAATGACAAATTTAAATTGATGCTAATAATTAAAATAAGTTATAGAAATGACAAATTCAAGTAATTCAAAGAATAAAAACAAGTTATCGAAATGACAAAATTCAAGTAGTGCTAAGAATGAGAATAAGTTATCGAAATGACAAATTTAAATTAATGCTAATAATTAAAATAAGTTATAGAAATGACAAATTCAAGTAATACTAAGAATAAAAACAAGTTATCGAAATGACAAAATTCAAGTAGTGCTAAAAATGAGAATAAGTTATCGAAATGACAAAATTTAAATTAATGCTAATAATTAAAATAAGTTATAGAAATGACAAATTCAAGTAATACTAAGAATAAAAACAAGTTATCGAGATGACAAAATTCAAGTAGTGCTAAGAATGAAAATAAGTTGTCGAAATGACAAAATTCAAGTAGTGCTTAAAATGAGAGCAAGTTATCAAAATGGCAAATGCAAGTAGTGCTTAGAATGAAAATAAGTATTCGAAATGACAAAATTCAAGTATTGATAAGAATGAAAATAAGTTATCGAAATGAAAAAATATCTTTAACCTTGTATTTTTTAAAAGGTTCATTAATTCATATGAAAGTAAAAATGGACAATAAAATATTGGACTGGTGAACCGCAAAACGTTGTATGGGACTCAAACAGTGATACAAGTGAATGAGTTGTTCAAACTGCAAAATATCACTAACGTGGTACTGTAAAAAAAGGTTCTTTAATTCAAATGAAAGTACAAATGGTTAACATAATGGATTGGTGAACCGCTGAGTGTCGTATGGGATTTATTTAGAAACCATTTTTCCTACATGCACATACTTTCTTTTATTTTTCGAGTTTTTACCTTGTTACATGGCACTGTACGGCATTTAACAATGAACAGAATCCATACCGTTTTAGTAAACTAGAGAATGGAAACGGGGAATGTGTCAAAGAGACAACAACCCGATCCGCACCCGAAGGCGGGCTTCAGCTGGCCCTTAAACAATAATGTATTTATGTACTAGTTCAGCGAAAATAGACGTCATACAAAACTCCAATACATATAAATCAATCGAAAAAAATCTAGAGTAACAAAGGCCAGAGGTTCCTGACTTGGGACAGGCGCAAAAAAAACGGCGGGATTAAACATGTTTTGTGAGATCTCAACCCTCCATATACCTCTAGCCAATGTGGAATAAACAAACGTACAGCAATACGCAAAGTAAAACTCAGTTTAAAAGAAGTCCGAGTCCGATGTTAAAATAGGTTACAGAAGAAACTAAGCAAAATGACAATGATCAACATGAATTAACAAAGGACTACTAGCAGTTACTGACATGCCAGCACCAGATCTCAATTAAACTGATTGAAAAATTATGTCTTCATCATATGAAAATCAAGCACAATCCCTCCCTTTAAAGGTTTAGTATTATACCATCATAAAATACCAGACTCAAGCTGGCAGCCACTTTTAGCAGCCAATCAAGATAGCAGCCACTTTTTTCCAGCAGCCAATTTTCATGATATGCCTAAAAACCAAAAAAACTGTATAAGACTCAAACGTTCCAAAAATCTCAAAATCTTAATCAAATATAATCTAATAGCGGAATTCGACAATTTCACGGCTTATAATGATTCTCAAAGGATTTCAATCCGTTTTAAATACCAATAATGATAGCAGCCACTTTTTTTCGGAGGACACCGTTTGTTTAATAAAAATTGCATAATGTACAATTTAAAATAGTTTTTTTTCGTTCTTTTTTTTTATCGTTTCTGGTTCCTTATGATAAGGAGGTACAGAAACAATGTAGGAATAGAAAATTAAAAAAAATCAAAGTACAATTACCATTGTTAATAATAGATTTAAGTAACTTGTGATGAATTGTGTTATATATATAATTCCAACCAATTTGAACTGAATAAAATAGATGCAATGCAAGATAGAAAAATCACATACATGCTTTCCATACACTCGGCATCCTCAAATATCCAAAAAAATCCACTATTTTAGTTGAAACCATTTTTAATATCTATTTCTGTATATATGAAATGAAAACATTTCGATATATATGTAATGGTTATCTCTTTTTTAATGTGAACAAGTATTTTCATAAAAATCCTATCCTATCCTAAATATTTAAGTGGCGAATAGCCTCGGTCAACACCTTTGAAATGAGCTAGGTCTGGTTCGGAAATTTTCCATAGGGAGTTGCCGAGGAGTACCAAAAGCAAGGGTGGCTATTCGACACTTAAATATTTTTCTGGGATCCGGGCCCGTCTGGCCACCACAGAGGTTCAAAGTTGCCCCTGGCCACAGACCACAATTGAATTCCTCTATTAGTTCTTTATAACGTTTTGTTTCATTAAAAAAATTGCACAATGCATTTCTGTCAAATCTTTTGTGTGTTTAATGTATAGTACTAGTCCAAAAATATATATCCAAAATTCAGAAAGATTGATCCAATGACTCTTACAAATTTAGCCAATACACATCCATACCCCTATGGACAAGTCAAGAGATGTTCCGAAAACTGTAAATATCACCTTTTTGCACCTGGCCTACTCACTCTTTCCATATCAAAATCAGTTAAAATACAACATCCAAAAGTTTATTTCACCTCTCCTCTTTCATTTCCACCCAAAAAAAAAATAAGAAATGAGTGAGGAAGGGAAAGAAAAAAAATTAAGAAAAAATACACTCTAATTAAAAGGAACTATATTCGCCCCCTTAGCGAATTTTTCAAATTAACCACACATTCGGTACTCCTCGACATATCCCTACGGTAAAGTTCCGAACCGGACCTAGCTCATTTCAAAGGTATTGACCCAGGCTATTCCCCGCTTAAATATTTTCTGGGATCCGGGCCCGTCTGGCCACCACAGGGGTTCAAAGTTGTCCCTTAACGTACTTTTCATATTAACCACCCTTGCATTCGGTACTCCTCGGTAACTCCCTACGGCAAAGTTCCGAACCAGACCTAGCTCTTTTCAAAGGTGTTGACCGAGGCTATTCGCCACTTAAATATTTTTCTCTTTGATCCGGGCCCGTCTGGCCACCACAGAGCTTCAAAGTTGCCCCTTAACGTATTTTCCATACCAAGGAAAATTCAAGTTTTAAATCGATGAATTGGCAATGATGCATGTCGTACAAAATAGTCCACGTAGGATTTTTATGAAAATACTTGTTCACATTAAAAAAGAGATAACCATTACATGTATATCGAAATGTTTTCATTTCATATATACAGAAATAGATATTTAAAATGGTTTCAAATAAAATACTGGATTCCGAGTGTATGGAAAGCATGTATGTGATTTTTCTATCTTGCATTGCATCTATTTTATTCAGTTCAAATTGGTTGGAATTATATATATAACAATTCCTCACAATTTACTTAAATCTATTATTAACAATGGTAATTGTACTTTGATTTTTTTTTATTTTCTATTCCTACATTGTTTCTGTACCTCCTTATCATAAGGAACCAGAAACGATAAAAAAAAAAAGAACGAAAAAAACTTTTTTAAATTGTACATTGTACAATTTATTATTAAACAAACGGTGTCCTCCGAAAAAAAGTGGCTGTTATCATTATTGGTATTCAAAACGGACTGAAATCCTTTGAGAATCACCACATGCCGTGAAATTGTCGAATTCTGCTGTTAAATTATATCTAATTAAGATTTTGAGATTTTTGGAACGTTTGAGTCTTATACAGTTTTTTTAGTTTTAGGCATATCATGAAAATTGGCTGCTGGAAAAAAATTGTATAAATGAATGTGTTTATTTTCGATGCAAAGACCCTATGAGTGAATGAATATTAATTCCAAAAAATGCCATCTGTAATGACTTGACAACAGTAAGCTATTACCAGCCCCGGTATGAAAAATTTGAAACAATTCAAAAGAGATATTGCTTTTGATTTTTGGTGTTTTAACGCCACTTTTAAGCACCGCTTTTGGGCTAATTCGTGGCGGCCAGTTTTTATTGGTGGAGGAAACCGGAGTGCCGGGAGAAAATCACCGACCTTCGATAGGAAAACTGACAATCCTAGTCAATTAAGATTGGAGTCGAGTGCACCCGCACAAGCGGGGTTCAAACTCACAACCTCAGTGTTGACTGGCTAGTGATTACAGTAGTAACTACTTTGACCACTCGGCCACCGAGGCCCCAATTCAAAAGAGAAAGTTACGACCTGGACGGTTATTCATACATATATATATATATATACAAGTCTAAATTGAAAACAACGTTCAAACCTATGATTGCGTTGGATAAAAACCGCAATTTTTATACGTGTGCATGCAAAACAAATTTCTTGGTAGAGTGGGCTAAATACAGCACAAACAACATTTTCCAAAAGACCAAAAAAGTGAAAAAGTATATTTTAACAAAACGCATTTGACTAGCAGGTCGAACAACGGATGTTCTTAAACCCTGCTGACTGCCATGGCGATTGCCAAATAAACGGATCACCAGATGTAAAAAAGGATCTTAATTTTTTTAATTAAATACCAAACAGAAAACAATAAACTTGCGGAAAAGATGGTATACCGCAAACATGAGGTGCAAAAATTTGTACACCATATCCGGATTTCGACAATTAATGTCTCTTCAGAGATGTTAGGAATCGAAACGGTATTTGGAAGGCCATATAATTTACCTCAATTTGGGATTGACTCTTGAATTTTGAAGAGTCAAAATAGGATGAACGGATCATATAAACCCGAAGGCAAATATAATACAAGCCCAAACGAAAAAATATAAACAAGTCTAAATTGAAAACAACGTTCAAACCTATGATTGC